CCCACCCAAAGCCTACCACCGGCTCGGCCCCGAAGGCGCACCGACTACGCCATGTCAGAGGCCTATTACGACGACAAACCCAAGGGTGGCGTCACATACGCCCACCAGGATGACCTGCCGAAACTGCCCATCCCAGAGCTCGAGGTCAGCTGTGAGAAGTACCTAGCCGCCCTCAAGCCGCTTCAGTCGGCCAGGGAACACGCAGAGACAAAACATGCCGTGCAGGCCTTCCTCCGAAACGAGGGGCCAGAGCTGAACAACAAGCTCAAGCAGTATGCTGAAGCCAGGACGAGCTATATCGGACCAATTCTGTAAAGCCTTCTTTTCCCCCTCCCCACCCGTCCCCAATCCTGCCCGTCCGTGATGTCACTGACAGACTCCTATTTCAAGGGTATGATTCGTACCTGAACTATGACAACCCTGTCGTCCTCAATCTGAACCCCTTCTTCCTATTGGAGGATGACCCCACGCCAGCCCGGAACAACCAGGTGACCCGCGCTGGCTCGCTCGTGGTGTCGGCTTTGGAGTTTGTGAGGGCTGTACGCAAGGAAGAGCTGCCGCCCGACACCGTTAAGGGCACGCCGTTGTGCATGTACCAGTATTCACGTCTGTTTGGTACCGCCCGCGTTCCCACCGACGCCGGATGTCAGATAGAGCAAGACCCCGAGTCCAAGCACATCGTTGTCATGTGCCACGGCCAGTTCTACTGGTTCGATGTCCTGGACGACAACTCGGACCTCATCATGACGGAGCGGGACATCGTCATCAACTTGCAGACCATCATCGACGACGCCGCCCAGACGCCCATCCAGGATGCCGCCAAGGGGGCCTTGGGCGTGCTCAGCACCGAGAACCGGAAGGTGTGGTCGGGGCTGCGGGACGTCTTGATGCGGGAGCCGGGTTCCAACAACGCCGACTGCCTGAGCATTGTCGATACCGCCCTGTTTGTGGTTTGTCTCGACTACTCCGAGCCCGCCGATGCCGCCGCGCTCTGCCAGAACATGCTTTGCGGTACGAGTGAGATCGAAAAGGGCGTCCAAATTGGCACCTGCACCAACCGGTGGTATGACAAGCTGCAGATCATTGTCTGTAAGAACGGGAGTGCCGGCATCAACTTTGAGCACACCGGCGTGGACGGCCACACCGTGCTGCGTTTCGCTAGCGATCTGTACACCGATACCATCCTTCGCTTTGCGAGGACCATCAATGGCAAGGCCCCGACGTTGTGGGCGTCCACCAGCCCCGACCCATCCAAGCGCGACCCCGAAAGTTTCGGTGACGTCAACACGACGCCGCACAAGCTGGAGTGGGATATGCTCCCTGAACTCCGTATCGCCGTCCGGTTCGCCGAGACCCGGCTGGCGGATCTGATCGAACAGAACGAGTTCCAATGCCTCGACTTCGGTGCCTACGGTAAGAATTTCATCACCTCGATGGGTTTCTCGCCCGACGCCTTCGTTCAGATGGCCTTCCAGGCGGCCTACTACGGCCTCTACGGCCGTATCGAGTGCACCTACGAGCCGGCTATGACCAAGATGTACTTGCATGGGCGCACCGAAGCCATCCGAACCGTATCGGACGCATCCGTCAACTTTGTGCAGACCTTCTGGGCCGACAACCCGGCCGAGCAGAAGATCGAAGCCCTCCGCAAAGCCTGCACAGGGCCACGTCGCCAGGACGCGTGAGTGCGCGAAAGCTGAGGGCTTCGACCGTCACCTGTACGCCCTCCTCTCCCTCTGGCAGCGCACCGTCAACGAAGACATCGGCAGCTCCGTCTCCGGCAGCAACGGCTACTCCTCCCCCGTCGACGCCCTCTCCGACCACAGCGGCACCAGACCCCCCGCCCGTAACCCAGCTTACTTTCTTCGGCAACACCCCCCACCCTCTCCCCCCCCATCACACCAAACGGGCCATCACAACCCAATTCCGTGGTTCTACGTCCCAATCCCACCTCCGTGCTGGCTCTTTCCCCTATCTCCTGATAATCTGTTCCCGCGGCGACAGCATCCAATCGCACATCTCCCAACTCCAGCAGCACGTCCCCCGCCCCCTCACCACCTCCCCCTCCTCTTCGCCGACCCCGGCTGGGACAAGATCAACACCACCATCCTGTCCACCTCCAACTGCGGCAACCCGTCCCTGCGCCAGTTCGGCTTCGGCCCCGTCTCGGGCGACGGCTTCGGCATCGGCTACATCATCAAGGACGAAGGCATCTCCATCTGCGTGTCGTCGCGCCATCGCCAGACGAGGCGCTTTGTGGATACGCTCGAGAGTTATCTGTTGGAGATACGGCGGGTGTTGCGCATTTCGGCGCAGGGGAAGGCTGGTGCGGGCGGCGGCGTGTGGAATGGCTTGCTGGGGATGAGGGGGAGCAGGGCCAGGGAGGTGGAGGGGTTGCGGGCGGCGGGCAATGGGCATCATGGGCATGGTCATGGTCATGATAAGGGGGTGCATACGGGGAAGGGCGGGGTTAGTGGTGGGAATGGGGTGGGGAAGGCGGGTGTTGGGGGGCCGCAGAAGATGCGGGTGAGGGGGAGGTTGATTACCGGGGCCGAGGGCCTCAGGAAGGCGTCGTCGGATCTGAGTGCGGGGGTGAATGGGAGTGTGTCGTCGCCGACGGAGGAGAGCTTGGGTATGAGTGAGGATGATGAGTTGGGAGGGTGTAAGTGGTTTTTTTTTTTGGTTTAGTTTGTTTGTTGGGGGTTCTTTTTGGGTGTTCTGTTTGGGTGTTTCTCTTCCTTTCCCCCACCCCCCTTTTCCCCATTCCCCTTTCCTCTCTACTCGCCCGTTCCATCTTTCTCCTTCTCATTGTATTTCCCCTCTTAAATCAACCCCCCACAAACCTAGCGAGACGGGCCTTTCTTCAGGATGCTAACGAAGCAACAAACAGATGGCTTCTTTGACGCTGGCATGCTGCTGCAGGCACTCAAGGCGAGGGGCGAGAACTTTGATAGCGGCGAGAGCAAGCCGTCGGAACGGGCGGCCGTGCAGGCGCGGAGGCGGGATGTCGGCAAGAGAATTGAGGCTGATTGACTACTAAGGGGTTGATTACGGTTTGGCTAACGGGCTGAGCGGGGGAGCGGAGCGGTCTTGGGTACGAAGGAGATGGATACCTCGCGAAATGGTTTGATGTTGGGTTGATATGAGCTGATGAGACTGGGTTGTTGGTTATGGTTGGCGTTTCTAGTTAATAGGATACATGGTGTGTCAAATATCAGTTACGTATACCCGCGAATCCTAGAATCTGTAGCTTTGGTGTGCGAGGTTGAAGCGAGGCAGAACCATTGTTCGTATCCATGTTGAAGTATATACAAGAATCAATAAATCTAGCGTGCCCCAGTACAGGGCGTGTCCAAAAACAGGGCGTGTCTAAAACAGACGGGATCTCTCTCCACGACCACGCGGTCGGAACCACCCCTTCGAACTACTCCCCAGCCCAAAACAACCCATCCGTCCCTCATGAAAGGCAACCGCTTCTAAAAGAAAATGGTGATATGCCCACGTAGACACAATATGGGGTATAACACACTGATGCAATCCAAACCCTCCCTCCCTCCCTCCCTCTCATTACCTATTCCTACCCCTCCCCCCCACGTCAAGGTAACTCAACCGCCACCGTCTGCTGATGAGGATGCGGATGCTGATTCTCTCCAACAGCAGCTCTCTGCGCCTGTTGCTGTTGCAGTTGCTGTTGATACTGGCATCTGCGCCGGTCCCTGCACCTGCACCGTCCGCGCCGCCCCTCCCTGCACCTGCACAGCCTGCGCCACCATGGCCGACGCCGACGCCGGCCCGCCACCCACCGCCTTCCGCGGCACCACCATCCCGCTATTCCCGTTCCCGTTCCCACTACCACTCCTATTCACACCCGGGCCCGGGGCAGCATTCCCCGTCCCCGCCGCCGCTGCACCGGGCGGCCGATATGGCCGGTACCCCATCCCCGACGGCAAGCTCAACGGCACTCCGCTGACACCCCCACCACGAATGCTGCTTTGCTGCTCACCGGGCATGGGCCCCAGCGCCGACGCCGGGCTGACGGGGATGGTGCCGTTGTAGGTGGACACGGGGGTGGAGGTGGAGCGGCGGTCGGGAAGCTCGGCGGCTGCCCAGGCGCTGTCGCCTCCTTGGCCCGCTGCTGCTGCCGCCGCGGTAGTGGTCTTCGGACTGGCGCGGCGAGTTGTTGTAGTAGGACGGCGCGGGGAGCGGGGGTGGGGCGTGCGGCTGGTGGGCGTATTGCGGTTGCGGGCTGCCGCCGGGCGTGGTCATCGGGCTAGGTTGGTGGTCGGGGTAGGTGTTGTGGATGCTGTTGGCGTGGTGGTGGTAATCTTGGTGGTAGTTGTTGTTGGCGTGGTGGTCGGGGTAGTTGCTGGTGTGGTTGCTCGGGTGGTGATTGTGGTACGAGTTGAAGGAACCTGCTGCTGCTGCTGCGCCGGCGCCGGCGCCTACTGCGGCCGCGGCTACGGGGGCGCCGTACATGTGAGCCGGGGTGCTGGTGGAGGACGCGGCGTATCCGGACATGCGGGCGGATGCCGAGTCTTGCGCGTAGGGTGCCGCGGGCGGTTGAGTGTTGGGCAACGTCGGCTGGGCCATGAAGGGCTGGGGCGGCGGCAGTTCGGCCATTGCCGCGCTCTTTTTCTTGTGCTGGCGGAGGAAGATGGCGCCGAAGATGGCGAGGGCGATGAGAGCGATGCCACCCAGAACACCGCCCACGATGGCGCCGATGGGCGCCGAAGGGGCGTCCGAGGCCACGGGTTCCGTCGAAGCAGTGGTGGCGCTAGAGCGGTCTGAGTCGACCGTGGTTGCAGCCGTCGGGGGTGGGGTGGTGGAGGCGGGCTCTTCGGTCGTCGCTTCAGATGTCTCCGACGTTGTCTCGGACGTGGTCTCGGTTGATGATGACTCGGAAGTGAAGTCGACGATTTCTTGGTAGTGGTCGACGTCGACTTCTTAGTGGTCGAGGTGGTCTTGGGCTCGACGGTCGACATGCTCCTGGACTTGTCGCGGCTGTGAGTGGTCTCGGCCTCGAGGGCAGACGTCTGTTTCCTTGCGCTGCAGTAGTAGTCTGTGACACCTCCCCGGAACAACACCGTATTGCAGAATCTGGCCATGCCGGAGCTGGGTGGTGTTAGGGGCAAAACATGGTACGTGGACAGCAGTGGGTAGCAATTACCATTTCAGGGTCAAGGGATCAGCCTTGCAGTCCTTGTCGCAGTCGTCCATATCACTCCTTTCGATACACGATATCCGGAACGAGCAGTCTTTGCCTTTGCAGCACCCGGCAGCACCGGGAATCTTGCCGGATGACGGGATGAAAGCACACTGCATGTCATCGTCGAGGCAGGCATACGCGGATCCTGAGAGAGTTAGGACGCGTTCTGATGGCTTTAGGGACCGGGTCACTCACTTGAATTGCCATTGATGAAGCCGCAGGTATTATCAGGGGCTATGAGATAGCTCTCGGGCAGGCTTATCTGACGCTTGAAAAGTCCTTGGCCTTCTGGTGCTGGTGTCGGCCTTGGAGTCCAGCCGTTCTCGAGTGGGAGGGCTTGAAAAGGATCTGTTGGTTGCGGGAGAAACGCGAATGCCTGGACAGAGGCGCCGAGGAGGGCAGCCCCGTAGAGTAGTTGTAAGCTCATGGTTAGTGAGTGTACAGGTATGTGTGTATCCAAAAAAGAGTGTGGTGATATTTGACAAAATATCAATAAATGAACATCAAAAATGCTAAATGATGGTGTTGGACAACATGGACGTCGTGTCACGGCGACCCTCGAAATGGATGGAGCCGCAAAGGAAACAACAGGAAACAATGCACCCGAGGGGGCCGCAGAGGGCCTCCGAATGATAAAATTGATTCCCCAGGCCAGTGTCTGCATGCTTCTGCAACGCACGCTGAGAAGCTGATGCCGTCTTCCCGGCAAAAGTCTCTAGAAAGACAGGGGGATGATACGTTGGCTGCAGCCATGGCAAGCCAGCGCCAGCCCTAATTGGTGTTAAAGCACGCACATTTTCAGGGGTGCAGATGCGCAGCCGGGGTAGAACAGGGGTTCACTTTTGGTGAACTCGAGGAACCGACGAGGAACCGACGGGGGATGCAATCCTGGGCTGACCCGAGCGGTAAATTTCGACATGATAGGGCATTTCCGGGGATTTCCTAGTGAGGACCGTGCCCCCAGGTACTTCGCAGCTGCCCGTGCTGCCCCAGGACAGCTTGATGGGGCGAGGACGGCGAGGAAGGCGAGGAAGTCGACGAAAGTGCTGGGGCAGCTTCAAAAACTGGTGCCTGGGGCCCCTGCATCGATCAAGAGTTTAATTGCGTTGCTCCAAAAAGGAACTTCGGTCCCCCCCACAAGGCTAAAAATGGATCCTTTCCTTCCTCGGCATGCGCAGGAACCCGCACGGCACCAACGGCAACCCTGAACTTGCGTTTACCAGCTGCAGCTCAGCCCTTTGCAACCCAACGACAGCCCACTGTGAGGCTTCCGCAGTCACAACGGCGCCAAACATCGAAATCGCAAATTCAGGACATCAAACGGAAAATAAAAATAAAAGGCCACAACCCCCATCACACCCTGGTCCATGCATCTATCCCATGTCTTCCTTTGACCCATGACGGATCTGTTGCGCGTGCTCCCGCACTTCCCTGTCGGGCAGTTCGCGAGGCTGATTCCTGTGCTTGAGAAGCATGCTATCTCGACGAGCGACCTCTTGACCTTGGAGGCAGCTGATATCGGGAAGCGGACCCATCTTCCACTGCTTGATGTCAAGCGCTTGTGTGGTGCCGTGCTGGATGCCCTCCATGCAGATCTCGGCGTTGCAAATCCGGGTCCGGAAACACGTGTCCGGCAGCCGCCAGCCGAGTCCGGCGCTGAAGCGGGTCCCGAGCCGGATATCACGGGCCGGCCTGCTCCGGAACCAGATGCACAACATCCACCCGCTAGCGAACTGAGGAATACGGCAGCCTCCCTCTCTGCACAATGGCAGACTATCAGCACGCTCGATCCTGACTTGGACCGCGCCCTGGGCGGCGGTATCCCGGCCGGTTACGTGACCGAGGTCACCGGCGAGTCCGGCGCCGGCAAGACCCAGTTCCTGCTCTCCCTCCTCCTCGCAGCCCAACTCCCGCCACCCCATGGCCTCAGCCGCCCGGCGCTCTACATCAGCACCGAGGCTCCGCTGTCAACCCGGCGTCTCGCCCAGATGCTCACCGCTAACCCCCACTTCCAACGCTTACCCCCTTCGCAGCGGCCGTCCCTCGACAACATCATCAGCACCGTCACGCCCGACCTCGAAAGCCAAGACCACATTTTGAACTTCCAAGTGCCCGTCGAAGTCGAACGGCGCGGCATCGGCCTCATCGTCCTCGACTCGGTAGCCGCCAACTACCGCGCCGAGTTTGAGCGCTCGGCTACTTCGTCGGGGGCCAAGCATGGCTCCAACATGGGTGCCCGCACCACCGAACTCGTCAAGCTAGGCATGCACCTGCGCGATCTGGCACAGCGGCACAGCCTCGCCGTGGTGGTTTCCAACCAGGTGGCAGACCCGGTTCGGCGGGGGTTATGCTAACTCCAGAACCCCCGCCTCCTCCCTCCACCAGCACAAGCACCAGCATTCGCACCCCAACCCCAGGACTCCGCCAAACCCAAGAATCCCCCCTCGCCACCCGCAGCCGGCCCCCTCCCCCAAACACCCACCACACCACCGACCTCCTCGAACCACCCTCCTCCATCCCCCTCCCGTCCAGTCACCCCCAACAAACCCAACCACCACTACCAACCCCCTCCACAAACCCCCACTTCCCGCAACCCCAACCCCAACAAACCCCACCAACCCACCCCGCCCTCCTCCTCGACCACCAACAACGCTGGTTCACCGGCTGGGGCGACGATCTCCTCGTCCAGCACGCGCTCAAGACCCCCGCGCTGGGGCTGGTGTGGACGACGCAGGTGGCGGCGCGCATCGCGCTGTCGCGGCGGCCGGCCCCGCGTCGGCTGCGAGGTGTGGGGGTGTCGGGTTGGGAGCGGCGGATGAAGGTTGTTTTTGCGGCGCATGCGGGGGAGAGCGGGCCCGGGGTGAGCGGGGCGGTGGGGTTTGAGGTGTGGATGGGCGGGTTGAGGGCTGTTGGAAGAGGAGGGGCTGTTGGGGCTGGTGGGGGAGGGAGTGGTGGTGATGAGGTGGGTGGAGAGGGTGAGCGTGGGGGTGAGGGTGAAGGAGAAGGAGAAGGTGGTGAGGAGGGTGGGTAAGGGGTAAGATCTTGGGAAGAGGGGGGGGATATAGCATGGGAGAATGTGAGAAAATGGATTGTGGTTGGGGTTCGTGTCCCCAGTCATGGGAAGTCAAGGGGAGGGCGGAAACAGAGAGTGGATGTTACGAGGTATCAGTGTAAAAGGGGTATGATATTGTTGGGCAAGACGGCAATATTGGTTATCCGGGAACTATTGGGTTTACGATTAACTTCTGGAGATATAGAAATGAAGTCAATTTTCCTAAAGACACTGTGCCATACTTGACAGCAGTTGAACGCCGCCGCCAGTACAGTATCACAGACGATAAACAATCTAAAAACGGACAACCTTTGCAGCTTATTTTCCATTCTTGACCGACATTCCCCGTCTAACTAACTCCTTGATTTTCAAGCGCTATGCTAAACAAACCAGAGAGAGCCACGCCCAAACATCATGCATTAAACAAAAAATGATTCCCTTCCCCAGCGCCAGCCTCATGCACCCTTCACCTTGGATGAGGGAACTTATCCTCTAGCTGCATCCTCACACCCACATTCATACTGATGAGCTCCTGCACCAGCAGCTTCGCCGCGTACGGCATCGTCATCTGCGTGACCTGGCTCGTGCTCCCACACGTCTGGCAGAACCCCTTGTACCCCAGTAGACCGCATAGCTCGCAGATGTCGACCTGCGTGCCGTCGGAGCTGATCATAAGTCGCTCCAGCAGCAGCTGCGACGCACCGTAGGCAATGAGGCAATCTCTCTCCATTTCTCCCAACCGCAGCCCACCGTCTCGCGACCGACCCTCGGTCGGTTGCCTCGTGAGGATAGCCCGGGGCCCGCGCGACCGCGAGTGCATCTTGTCCTGCACCATGTGCTTCAGGCGCTGATAGTAGATGGGCCCGTTGAACAGGTATGCCTCGTGTGGCTCTCCGGTGATACCTGAGGTAAAATAGTCCTTCCCTTCCCATGAAAACCCGTGCTCGACCAGAACCTTGCCCATCTCCTCAACGGGATGTGAGCGGAACGCGTCACCGAAGCCGTAGTCGCGCTCGCCGGCGACGACGGAGGCTTTCCCAGTCAGGCACTCGAAAAGCTTGCCGACCGTCATGCGAGACGGGAAACCGTGGGGGTTCATGATAATGTCCGGGACGAGGCCGGAGTCGGAGAAGGGCATATCTTCCTGGTCGGCAATAATGCCGACGACACCCTTTTGGCCGTGACGAGATGAGAACTTGTCGCCGAGCTCCGGCCGGCGGGTCTGGCGGGTTTGAACCTTGACGATGCTCGTGTTCTTTTCCGTATTCGAGATCATCACCTTGTCGATGTACGCCGGGTCGGCAATGCGGTAGTTGGTGGCGGCCGGGCGGAAGTCGTCGGACCCACGGTCGCTACCAATCCCAGTCGAGGTCTGGTCGATCGGCGTCTCCTTCATGATCATGGTCTCGCCCGAGTGCACCCGGTAGCCCACGACAGCAAGCCCGTCCTTATCTAGGCAGGCGTGCTTGGCGATGGTATTGCCCGCTTCGTCTTTCTGGATGCCTCCCAGCCTGTCTTTCCGCCCGTTCGGGTACTGTTGCAGCTCGGCCGTGTACTTGCGGAACACCTGGCAGCGCCCGAAACCGCGGTCGCACGACGCCTTGTTTAGCACGAGGGCGTCTTCGATATCGTAGCCCGAGTACGACATGACGACGACAGTGGCGTTCTGTCCGGCCGGGAGCTTGTCGTAATGAATAAGCTGGATCGTTTTGGTGATGACCATGGGGCGCTGGGGGTAGACGAGCGTGTAGAGAAGGGTATCGATGCGGTTGAACTGATTATATGCGATGGCTCCTATGGCTTGCTTACCCATAGCGCATTGGTAGGTGTTACGCGGGGACTGGTTATGGTGGGGGAATGGGATAAGGCCGGCGACCGCTCCGAGGATGGTGAAGGGCTCAATCTCCATGTGGGTCGTCGAATGGTTGACATCGTCCTCCCTGATGGCAATCAATGCGTCGTTCTCCTCGTTGACATCGAGATATTCAATGACACTGCGTTTCAGAAAGTCGTCAAACGTTGCTTTCCCCAACTGCAACAGCCTCAAGTGCTCCTTCTTGAGCTTCGGCTTCCCGTCCTTGACGATGATGTAGGGCCGGCAGATGCGCCCTTCGTCGGTGGCGATGTGGATTGCCGAGAAATGTTCGTTTATGTGAATTCCGATAAAAGGAGAGATGTGGCCGCGGCGACGCGTCGTCTTGAACCGCGATGCGAACTCTTTCGGATGTTTAGTGATAGCGAATGGTGTGCCGTTGAGGTGGATCATATAAGAGCCCCGTTTGTGCATCTCAGAGCCTGTGTACATTCGGATAGGCTCGACGCCGGGGATCAGACCGAATATCCAGTTCTTGACCGGCTCCTCCTCAGCATTGGTGGTAATATGCGTCATGAGCGCTAGATTCTTGACCAGGCCGCAGGCTTCACCTTCTGGAGTGTCGGACGGGCAAAGCATACCCCACTGTGACGGTTGGAGGGCTCGAGGACCGCTCACTTTCCTCGTCTTCTCGAACTGACTGCTGATACGTGTCATCATTCCCAGAGCGGCGATGTAGCTTAACCTGCTCAGGACGTGCGTGACTCCCGCGCGGTTCATATTAAACCGCTTGACATTCCAGTTGCCGCTTTGGATGGCCCGGTTCAACCCTTGCGTGATGTATTGGCCCTGACTGCTGATGGGGCCTACCGGGTCGTAGGCGGAGGTCCGATTGGGTTTCTTGAAGAAGTACTCCATGTTTCCCTTCAACCCACCGACAAACATCTTAAACATGTCTTCAAAGAGCAGAGATAGTAGCTGCCCGGCCAACTCCAACCGCTTGTTGCCGACGAAGTCGCGGTCGTCGACGAGTCTAGGGTTGTGAGCCGCCATCAGGACACGGCGGACCATCATGGAGATATATATTGATTTCGGGTAGAAGTCGAGATCTTTGATGGTAACGTGGGCAATGATGATGTTTGCCAACGCATCCAACCCTTCCTCGACCGGGCTTCGGCGCGGTGCGGCCATTGATCGCCCCTTCTTGGGCCCTCCCATCTTAACCCTAGAGCCCACGTATTCTAGGGCCTGTTGTTGCGTGAACACACCGGCCTTAGCTGCCTCTTCAAAGTTGATGAGGAAATCGTCCTGGTATCGCGCATCTCCCCCCGCCACAACCTCCATGATTTCGTAGTCCGAGAGCCCGCCGAGAGCCTTGAGAACGATGACGATGGGAATCGGCTCTACGAGGACGTTGTGGTTGAGCACTATGCGATCTTTCTTAAGAATGACATAAGTCTTAGACTTGCGCTCGTGGGTTGAACTTGTGACCGAGGCCGAGACGCCGCCTGTTTTCTCGTCGGCTTCGACAATGACACGGTTCTTGCTGAGTTGTTCCTGGATGAGGATGACTTTCTCGGTTCCGTTGATGATGAAGTAACCGCCGGGGTCAAGAGGGCATTCGTTCATGATTTCCATTTGCGCGTTGTTCGCACCGCTGAGGCAGCACTTTGCGCTCTTGAGCATGACGGGTATCCGGCAGAGTGGGATATCTTTCCGGACAATCCTCTTTCGATCGCGCGAGTATGTGATATCCACAACGACGGGTGCGGCGTATGTCATGTCCCGGAGGCGGCACTCCATGGGGGTGACCTCATCGCGGGCCTTGAAATCGGTGTAGTCATTGCGGGTGGGGGTACCGACGCGGATGTCGGTGAACTCGAGCCAGAAGTCCTTCTCTTGGTCGCTGCGGATAGAACGGTTGGCCTTGACAATGTCTTTTATCTCCTGCTCGACAAAAAAGTTGTAAGAGTCGATGTGCTGCTTGACAAGACCTGCGATCCAAAGTTAGCAACACGCGCTCGAAGAATTCGGCAAATCTCGTCAACCTCCCAACAGCTTCCAATGCGGCGCTGACTCACCTTTGACTTTGAGAAATGCTGGTAATAACTGGTATTTATCTTCCCTGGTTGATATAGGATCTGTAAGACTCTTTCCGTTGTAGAAGGGCTCTAATAAGGCCTCGAAGCCGTCGTCAATGGTACCCATCTTGGCTGGTTGTTTGGTGGTGGTGAGGAAGCGCTCGGCTGGGGCTGCAGGCCAAACAACTATTTTTTGCCCCGCGATGGCACTTGACCTTATCGGGCGATAAGCCCCAACAACGACGGTTGGGGACGGCAGGTTGGCCCACCTCCCCACCATGGAGTTCGCACCGCAACCAGAGCCCAGAACCGCTCACAGTGTGAGGAATAAAGAGCTGATATTTTGGCATGTTTTATTGAGGCAAGGCAAGGTCCTTCTGGGAATGGAAATGCTCCTGTACCTATTTCATCATCCTAGAGAGGTACATGTGTTTTAGCAAGCAGAATTTTAAAAGATAAATTCTAGTCCCTGTGTCTGTTGATGTTTGACAGGGAGTTCCTGCGTTTTTGACTTGGACAACAATCCTCCGGCCGATACTTCGTGCTTTAAAAAGACGTGGAAGTACACAGTACATGTACCTACCTGCCTTACATACCAAAACCATCCAGCAATGGAGATCACGCAAAAGAAGCTGGGTAAAGCGGTTTCCATTCATGCAGTCGATTGGACCTTTAGTCGACATCTCACATAGGTATGGGGTCCGGCATTTTCTGCCCATGGGGTGCTCAACATTGGATCGTATTGTCCAGCGAGCCAGCTTGGTGGTGGCAGGCTTGAAGCTCCGAAAAGAGAAGGCAGCTCTGGGTATGTACCTAGGTACCTAATGACCCCGCCTTGAGTCGACCCCTCATCCCGCGTTCTCGTGTCAAAGCACGAAATGAAGCGGAATTTGAATCATCTACCCTCTTTTGTTTCATAAACAAATACATTGAGTTGATTCCGATTCCTTGTACCATGGTGTATTCGGCTAGGGAGCTTTAAGCTGGCCACAAACAATCAAACTCCAGTGTAACGATTCCCAGTGCGCTAGTCTCCAAAGGCGAGGCTTTCCACCACCTGTTCATGTATGTATTGCCGATAACCGGGTTTCCTTCCCGTGAATAAAACGCCCCTGGCTGCAGATTTAACGAGTCCCGAGGTAGTGGGCTTGCGCCCGTGGAATTGGGCTCACCGGCCCTTACACAGCTGCTGCTGCACGCTGCAGGGTGCTGCCAGAGTGTGGGTGGGGTTAAAGAATGAGGCTGACCGTTGGGTAAGGTGAGGTGGTTGGCTGAGTGGATGACTAGGTTCCGCTCTAGCCGCTGTTCTTTGTGTGTGTGTTCAATCAACAGAGTGCTAATTCCAACGGACAGAAGTGGTCTTGTCTGTTCTTGAGCCGCCCAAGGGATGGGTCCAAGAAGATGCGAGCTGAGTTAGCCTGAGGCGGTTACCTTTTTCTCTCTTGATAACTACCCAATGATTAAACTGAGACCATCGTTATTAACTCTCCAGGATTGGAGGGGAGAAAGCAGGTTGTCCTCCCGCATCACATGTCTGTGGCTCAAACCGCATCCGTCAGTAGAATAAAGAAAGGCCTAACTATCGGAGGTGCGAAGCACTGGCAAACTGGCTTGTAGTTCCATGGCCGCATTGTCTTTACCGCTAATCCCAAACAGCAACCCTCCTGTACCTGACAACTCAACACTTCACCTCGACTGAGCGGGCACACGATGGGAACCGGAACCGGGAACTTGGAACCGCGCCTGGAGCCGGCCGTAGAGGAATCCTTTGATGGAGCTAAAGACCGGGCGGCCCCCGGCCAGAAGAGCGAAGGTGCAGGTCATCCGCTGCTGGAAGAGAAGGGACCTGAAACCGGAGCCGCGACGAAGAGGGTCCCTTTAGCACTCCCGAGGGTTCCAAGCTTGGGCCTACCCCAAACTATCACGACAGGGCACGGGATGCTGATTCCCCAGCACCTCGAGGTCCTTGGAGTTGGGGGCAGCAGCTACGTCTACAAGTGCCACGGAGACCTTGCCTATAAAGTAAATGTCACCGAGCGCGAGGTTGACCTGATGACGGCGGCGGGCGATTGCGCCATCACTCCCCTCTGCCATGTCTTGGCCAAAATAGACGGCGCATGGTGGCGGCGGGGACTGATCATGGAGCTCGCCACGCCCTTTGATTTCAAGCTCGTGCCGGCCAAAGAGCGCATGGCCGTCAAGGACGAGATGGTTGGCCTTGTCGAGCGCCTTCACAGTAGCGGAATCGGCATCGCCAACGGCGACATCAAGCCCGACAACTTCCTGCGGTGCCGCGGCGGCAAGCTCCGCCTGTGTGACTTCGACTCAGCCCGGCTGCTGACCGACGATGAGGTCGAGGACTGGGAGGGTGGCGTCAGCGACCGATATTTGGCCCCGAGCCGCCGCTATCCGGAAACTCATGGCCCCCCCACGGTCGTTGACGACAACTATGCCCTGGCCATCTCCGTGTGGGAACTCTTCACGGGGAAGGACGCATTAATTGACGAGGATATGGAGGATGCGCTGATGGAAGGCAAGACAGTCGATCTGGACGAGTTAGAGGACGAGGATGTCCGGACCTTTGTGTGGAAACGACTGCGAGACGGCGGCGCGAAGGTCCCAGATCCCGTTCCTGCATGGGATGGTGGCGGGAAATAGCAAGCAAATCTACACATATAGCAGCATGCGAACGTTCGGGCCCCGACAACACCAAGGTAGGCGACCGGGAGGAGGGAGGGTTAGCGCTAAAGAGACCAACGGAGGAAAGTCACTCACCGTCCTAGCACACAGCCTCTATAACGACCTAGTTAGATTACTTACGTATATATCACGAACACAAAACCGTATCCATAGTCCCTCTAGGTGCTCGTGTGCGTCGCATCCATGGTCGCTACCGATGCGCCTCATGAATCCAGGATGCACCCTACAATCAGGATGCGTTCCACATTGACTCAATCGGACACGATGCAGGGCGATTCGACTCCTTCCTCCACTTACATAGAGTTCAGTGACACTCGCGGGTTATTTGGGAGAGCAATGGTCTCGAGTTGACTCAAGATAGACGCCAATTCAGTAACTCCCTGGTAAGGTATTGGTGGCATTGTTCGCGGAGGTTGATGAGCCTTGGTCGGGGATGAGCCCGGTAGGAGAATCCATTGGTTAGTTCGACTGGTACGTTTTGCATGTGTTGTTGTTTTTGTGTAGCCGGCAATCGCCTCCAGACCCCATCTATGAGGGTATCAAGTGCCATAAGCTCAAACAGGCTAGGTACGTACCCCAGGTCGGCCGAGCATTGGGGCGGGTCGGCTAAGTCAGCACCTGGGGTCTGTCAAGTGCCAGGCGAGATAGCTATTGCTGTCGTCAACCTCGGATGCTGTCAACCACAGAATGAGTTTTGTAGGGTCACAGCATTGGCCGGAAATGATGGTTGAGCTCTCATCAGACCCCCACTCCCTTTCCTGAGTCAAATCGTTGAGAATCCCTCGAGTCTCTCGGAAAAGGACTTGTGGAATCAGCCGCCAATAACCTCAAGGTTGTACCGAGATCGACGGGGTCGGCTGTGATACCCTCCGTGCGTTTCGTCGGGCAGAGAGGTGGGGCAGCACAGATCTGTCGCAGAACCGGGTCTTCGCATTGGCTATCGTGCCTTTCGTGGGAAGCGCGCTTGCCTTTCAGCAATTGACCCCTCCCCGAGTTCGGGGATGCGTCGACTTCAACCAGTCAACACAGAACGCTGTTGTGTGGATGTTGAGAAAAGGGGCTGGGAGGCTGGGTGCTCGACATGTGCGGGCAGGGATGGGAGCTCCACACGAGGACCCCTGGTTGTAACGTTTGAAAGAGGGGTTGCGGCCCGTTGGCGGCGGGGGAAGCGAGGATGACGAGCAGAGGATATCTCAAGAGAGAGCCCCCAACTGTTTGTTTGCTGGCTCTGGAGGGAGCGCACAGTGACGAGCAGGGTGGGCGCAGCCTCCCCGAGATCGCCTTGTGGTCAACAACTGGTCTCTTAAAACACTCGGTCGGGGCTCAACTAGTCGGGCCGTGCTCACGTCGATCCGGAGGCATGTGCTGTTCATGTTTGATAGTCATATTCCCGTTGAGTCGGTTTCGTAGCGAACACTGCGTGAAGTCACAAATCCGGTTAAATACAACACCCAGCTCCTTCGGCACGGGGGCGCCGTTACTGGGTCTTCGAGTTTGGGGTTATCTTCAATGTTTTTCCCAATGCTTTGAGATGAGGGGACAACATCCCGCGACGTTGCCACCCTGTAGTTGCATCAAACATGGTGAACTCGCAGTGGGGTGGCCATGAATTGCCATGCTCCATGGCACCTTGTTGAAGGATGCGGAACACAAATGTCAGATGCGCCGGCAAGCGGCGGGATCAGGGAGACCCCGACTTGTCAGATTGGTGAGCCAAGCCGAGACGGAACGTCCATGTCGGTGGAGCCTCTTCCTCTTCCACGCTGGCTTCAACTTCCGAGCAGACGGACCCCTCCTCCGACCAACTCGTTCTCGTTGGTACATCATTCTTGCTCCAAATTATGCTCTCTCTCGCCTGTCAGTCAAGATTTATTAGCTGATCTCCACACGTAAGGGAGTGGGGAGAGGGCTAGAGGGAAGCGTCCCTCATCGATCGAGGGATTCTGTCGAACCCGGCCCCGGGGCAGCGCAGCGCAACCCCCTATCTGGGACGTCCAAACTCGGTACTGTGCATCTTGCTGCCGCCAGCGGCAAACCACGAAAGGCTGCCAGTCACAACGCAACATCCCACATAAATTGCCATGCACGCGCATGGGCCGGGTCCGGACCTGGGGAAACACCTGCCTGTCTTATACCCGCCAGCTCGTCGAAGGTGAGGTGAGACGGTGGGGGAACGGGCTGCAACCCACGAGTCGGTGTCACAGTTGCTTGGAACCGGGCTTGACTTGCCTGCTACCGTCCTGCCATGCTGCCACTCACCCGCCCCATTGTGGCCATGCCCGTACACCGCTGGTTCCCCGGGTCACCTGTTTGTAGATATTTCAGGGCGGCGATATTATCCCGTCAGCGCGTATAACACTCGAGAGGCGGCTTAATCGCTGTTTATGTTCCATATGGACGGCGAGAAAGAATGGCGACAGCTGAGACCTCGTGAAGAATGCCAATGTCATGTCAATTGACATGCCGAGCATGGAAGCACCCCCGCGTTACCTACTATGTGCTTAGTCGGAATGCATGAAGGGAAGGGAACCTCCGGTTCGTGTGCTGGGCCTGCATGTTCCTGTTCTGATCAGCGCGGGCGACATCGCCTCTTTATAGCTGGAGGCGAATGCACATACGAATTGGCTCAATACCCCGGTAGGGCAGAAAATCCGGGGTTGCCGGGCTTGGGCAGCAAAAGGCAAGCAGCCGCTGTCGTCGACCATGCAACCCTCTCGTCGCGCCGTCTCGCCTGCGCAGTCGGTTGCTCTTTCTCATCTGTCATCTGTGGCCTATCCCGCAACATCCTCGAGTCTCCTCCCCCACCTCTCTTCCTTTTCCTTTTTTGTCGGCGAGCCGCTGGAGGCGGGGCGCCTCGAGGCTCTCGGCCCCATTCTGCATCCTAGAAAGCACTTCGTACAAGTCCGGACTTGCATGGCGGGCCACCTATCCAGGCCCAGGTTTTTTGATTTGGAGTGCGTAAAGCCCACCTGACAGGTGTTAAGCACAGGCGCAGGAACAGGGCGAAGACCCACAGCACCTGGCAGCCCAATTGAGATGGAAGTGTGGGGGGATGATGGACGGATGTTTTAGCGCAGACGAGCTTGGGCCCTCCGCCCCAACCTGACTTAACCCTGAGTACCACCTACCTAGGCCGCTAAGCGTGCCAGGGCCAGTGACTCGGGCTGGCTTGGTTGCTCCAGGTTCTGCGCTGCCAATGGTCCGTCCTCTAGCGCCTGCAGGTAGGCTGTTCCATAAACCGAACCTCCACCCAAGGCACGCGGCGCTTTCGACCTGCCTTCTCTCCATCCCACGCTCTTTTGTATTACTGCTTCGATCCCCTTTACTGTTGCGCCTGGTCTCCAGGACGTAGCGTGTGCCAACAGACTTTGTTTCTCTAGGTCAGTGCATGTCTCCTTTACGTTCTGCTTGCATGCCGCACTTGCAGAGCTTTTCGAACTCCGAGTCCGTCGCGAAAGAGTGAGGCGTGAAACGTGAAGCGGGAACCGCAAGAGGGGGGCACAGGTAGTCGATGGCTGGGAGGCGCCATGGCGACTCGGCACAGCAACCACCGCCAAACACGGAGAGCTTCGAAGGAGGATGGACAATCGAGAGACTCCGAGGTCTTCGTCGCGCTCCCTGTCCATGCCTTGCCTTGCTTGCCTCTCCCAGCTCTCCTTTGGTCAGCTACTGCGACGGGCTGAGGGGCCCGGGGGGCGTGCCCGCAAATCGACTCCAGCGTCGGACTCCTCCACCGTCCAAGTCAGACTGCTGACCGCAAATCCTTTCCAGACTTATAGGGAAGATAACCGCCGTCCAATTCGCGCTCCCCGTGTACGAAGATTGCTGTGTAATAGCTGAGGGTAGCCCGGGATGGACGACTTTTTCCGAAACCAGCAGAGTCCCCGCGCCGACTCCCAAGTAACCGGCAGCGGCGCCTTCGTTTCGCCGCCACGCAACGGCAGCGGGCCTCTACTGCCGCGCCGGTTCACCACTGACTCCGGTCGTGTACCAACATTGTCAACAATTACCACTATTCCCCGCGTCGCCCCCGAACCGCAAGACTTCGGTTCGACCACGGTACGTTTTGGGAAATTCGGGGATAGATGCGGTTGAGGACTTGGCCGCTTGCTGTTGTTGCTGCTGTTGCTACTGCCACTGCCGCTGCCGCTGCCGCTACTTCCACTGCTCCTGGTGCTGCCGGTTGCAGATTTATGACATTGGGCTGACAAGGTTTGCGGTAGGCTATGCACAAAGTACAATTGGTAGGTGCCTTCTTTTACTCCACGATGCTTGGCCTGGAATTTTTCCTGGGCGCGTGGAGACCGTTACCAGGAGCACACGGGGGATCGTCTTGCTTCGGAAGGCGGTCGTAGCCGCGAGCCATGTGCATATCCCTAAGAACAGTTAGCTAACGTTGCCCGCAGCTAGAAAAAAAGAGGTTAGATTACGAGCGGCTTCGGGAGCACAGGCGGCGCTTCGAGGCTGAGATCCACAAACTGGACGCCCAACAGCGGCTAGAGGAGAGGGAGCTTCATAAGATGCAAGAGGACTTGGCTACTCGCTATGGAGGGCATCAGTCAGAGCCGACAACGCCCCCGGAGTACCGCGAAACCAGCGGTTTCCCTTCAATCTTCTCCAGGCCGAATCGCTATTCCACTTCGAGTCTTGCATCCCCGCCAGGTATCTTCAACCGCCCAGGTCGGTCCGGCTCACTCCTCACCTCGCCGCTTTCCGGCACTCTGCCGTCCCGATTCCCCTTTGACGACCCCTCCCACTCAGTGCCGAGCTCAAGAAGGAACAGTGATGAGGACGAGAAAGAGGAGGCTGTTCGTCAGGATCCCACAAGCCATCGTTCAACCAACGCGTAAGTAGCCTTGTTCCTTCCATTGTTCGCAGACCGTGGAACGCTGCTCCGCTCAGCTGGTTGCGAGCAACAGCATGCGTCAGCTGCCCCCTTTTATTCTTTCATGAGATTCTATCAAGCCCTTTCCCCCTCCTCGGGACCGGGCAGGTATTGTTGGGGATCCACGGCCCATTTCATCCCAATTTATTTGAATTGGGTAGGCTTGCAAAATAGGGCAGCCGGGACTGGCAACCTTTATTCATACCAACCCTTTCTCTGCTTTCCTATCGTTACTCATCGCACCATCACCGGCCCGTTTACCCGCCATTCAACGGCAGGTAGGAGAATAGCATTGCGCAGTTTCCTGCGCCCTCTCCCCGGAAGGGTGACCATCACGGCCGTTCCCATTTTCCTTTGCCTTCTTTGAGAACTACAAATATTTATTTATACCCCTCCCCTCATCTTCACTCATCCCCATACCCGCTCCCAGCCCTCGACTCTTTCTTTCCCGCGCCTTCCTCTTCTTCCACAGCGCCTGCAAGCCAAAGGCATCTTCATCAAGTGATACGGTTACACGCGTTGAGGCTTTCCCCCAACTCCAACCACTGACGCCCCCATCGTCTTTGGTTTCGCACACAACAGTAATATTCTCTCGCGGCAAGGCCGACCATCGAGGCGAACTCGGTCACTAACAAAACATCATTTATAGACTCAACCGATATTCCATGCCCGTCACCCGGTCCCGGACGTACTTGACCGATATTGGCCTTGAAGACAGCAACAACACGACCGGTTTTCTGTTTGGAGACGAGGACTCGACCCCCGCAGAGGCTAGAACCACTCCCACGGCCCAGGTTGGCAATTCGGACTCGTTCCCATCCTTATTCCGGCAGCAAGCATATCCAAGCATGGTGAGTTTACATCCTCCTTTTGGTTACAGTCCAGCGATCTGTTTGGCGCTCCCTCCCCATTCTTTGCCCTCCCTTTTTCATTTCCGTTATTTTAAAAAGTTTCCTGTTTCTGCCATTTCTGTGCAAGTTCCAGAAACTTGGGGCTTTTTGCACCCGAATTTCTGTTCTAGCAGATTGGCGTTGCAGTTTAACTTTTTAGTCCCATATCCCCCATCCCCGGAAACAGTTGCCTTCCCCACGACTCAGCACTTGCCATTCAACATTTTCAACTCGCATTGTTCTTCCTCTCTCAATTAAACATTTGCGGATTGCATTGTTGTATCTGCTTTTCCGCACCACACCGGTTTTGCTTCTCGCTTTTCGCACCCAAATTTGCAAATTTTTTACATCTTGGCTTTTCCCGCCAAAATCTTCATTGTCATCAGCTCGCCGTATCTCATACCTTTTTGGTTTTTGATCGGCTTGTTAACATTTTACTTTCTCACAAAGACTTCTTCTGCTTCTTCCGCTGCCCCCGACCTCACCCTCTCTCAAACCTCTGGGCCTGAACATCATCCTTCAAACGGCTGGAGCAGCATTAACAAGCATCGCCACCAGCAGAATATGTCCACCATGGGCCCCACCACCCAGCACAACGGTGGTGCCTCGCTCGGTTCGCCGTCCGAGACCGGCACCATCGGCAACACCCGCCCGGCCAATGTCCGGCACTCGATCGACGGCATGAAGCTCTTCCCGGAGACTACGACTACGGCAATGGATGCACCGGCTACCTCGGTTGTCTCGGCTCCCAATGCCCACATCATGGCTTCCCCTCCGAAGCTGCACCAGTCCTATTCGGCCAACGACGTGCCGACTGTTAAGCCCAACAGCACTGCTGGTCTGGGTGTTAACGCGAACAACCACGCCCAGCAGCATTTCCACAACCACAATGCCAGCATCGGCCGTATCCCCCACGGCGCTATGGCCGGTCGTCATAACCGCGAGCTCTCGTCGGACGCCTCCGCGGCTAATGGCCGTGAGTCTTCCAGCTACCCCTCCATCACGTCGACACTGCACGCCAACGCGGCACCGTTCGGCCCCACTCCCGCCCAGTCTCAGCACTCTTCTTCTGCCGTGGCGCCGGCAGTGACCGCGCCCGGCCCCGGGATGCCGTACCAGTACTTCCCTCCGAACACCGGCTACAATGCCATGACCGGTCCCACACCCGCTGGCTACAACTCCCTCCCAATGCTCATGCAGAACATGGCAGTTGCCAACGGCAATCCTCCGGCCATGTATTCGCAGCAGAACTTTACCGGCTATAACCCGCTTTACAACCAGGCGCCGGCTCCTCGCCCGCACCAGGACAGCCAAGCACGCGTCATTCAGAGCCGCCGCCAGATGGACAGCGAAGGTAAGCCCCGCCTCCCAGATCTCACGTCGCCCGTCCGCATATCCCATAGTACTTACTAACGTTCTTTTCAAATAGCCATGGCCCGGTTTAACAATCTGCCGCTTGAACAGGTCGGCGGCACCATCTACTCTCTCTGCAAGGACCAGCACGGTTGCCGCTACCTGCAGAAGCAGCTGGAGAATCGCATCCCAGACCAGATTCACATGATCTGGCTTGAGACCAACCAACACGTGGTGGAGCTGATGACCGACCCCTTCGGCAACTACCTCTGCCAGAAGTTGCTCGAGTATTGCAACGATGACGAGCGCACTGTCCTGGTCCAGAACTCCACGTCGAACATGGTGACGATCGCCCTGAACCAGCATGGTACTCGAGCCCTCCAGAAGATGATCGAGCATGTGACCACGCAGGTTCAAATCAACCTGATCGTTGAGGCCCTCCGCAACCAGGTCGTCGAGCTCATCCAGGATCTCAACGGCAACCACGTCATTCAGAAGTGCCTGAACAAACTAAGCGCTGCCGACGCTTCTTTTATTTTTGACGCTGTTGGCAAGCACTGCGTCGAGGTTGGCACTCACCGCCATGGCTGCTGCGTCCTCCAGCGCTGTATCGATCATGCCGACGGCGCCCAGAAGATTTGGCTCATTGAGCGTATCACCGACCATGCCGTCACCCTAGTGCAGGATCCCTTCGGCAACTATGTGGTCCAGTACATCATCGACCTCAACGAACCCACTTTCACGGAGCCCCTTGTCAAGCAGTTCCAAGGCCGCATCGGTATGCTTTCCAAGCACAAGTTCAGTTCCAACGTCGTTGAGAAGTGCTTGCGCTGCGCTGCTGAGGAATCTCGGGACATGATCGTTTCGGAACTCTTGACCCCCGGCGAGATTGACCGCCTGCTTCGCGACTCGTTTGGCAATTACGTGATCCAGACCGCCCTCGACTACGCCACGCCCATGTCCAAGCACCGGCTCATCGAGGCCATTCGCCCGATCCTCCCCAGCATTCGCGCGACTCCCTATGGCCGCCGCATCCAGGCCAAGATCCAGACCCACGATACCCGTACGGGCCCGAACAACACCGGCCAAGTGCTGCCCACCGACCCGGCTGGCGGTCAAATCTCGATCCGCCCGACCCATAACCGTGCCATGCCCAATGGCGCCTCCATTCTCGCCACCGGGGCTTACTCCAACGGCGGTCACGGAGCGGGCGGCATGTACCCGAACAGCTCGGTTATCGCCGTCCCTGCTCCCCAGAGCCAGGGCCCCCTACAGGCGCCGCGTCCACAGCAGTTCCCGCCTCAGTACAACGGCCCCATGGGGAACGCTGAGAACGGCGAGGCCCAGTGGGTCTAAGCAAAGCACTCGCCCTACGCTCGCCACTTCCGCGGAGCGGCGAGACTGGGGTTTGGTCATCCGCGTTCTTTCCTGTCTTCTCTCCCCCTGCTACATTAGCTACGAAAGGCATCATCAAAATGCTATGACCGTCACGACCTTTTCCTCCTCGGACTGTTTCCACTAGCAACGATTGGCACGGCATTTCGGGTTTTTTCACGATGCAACACGGTATTCACTAGGCGACGGCGAAAAGTAACCATCGAGCATAAGCACCTCCTCGGAAATTATGGACCCATCTCGAGGAGGCCCGCTTTGTTGTACACTACCCGCTCGATAGGTACGAGGCAGTCGCGACGACATAGAGGGTTCTGGAGCGTAATCTTCTCCCCAGTCTTTCCATTCGCCATTTCGGTCTTCGGTTTTCTCTGCTTTCTTTCGGTCTCTTCGGTTTCAGACCTCGATCCTCTCGGATACCTTTATCCCAATCTCAGCCAAATCTCTGCATCTTTCCCCGTCATTTGCCTCAACAATCATCTCGACAAGATATTGCAAAACCGGCCAATTTTTCGGGATACAGGGCGTGTTAGCTGCTTTGGCCAGAGACTCGGGCTGTATTTGCGCTCTGCGTGCCATTTTCCCCAGTGCGACGCATCGTCTTCGTTCATTTCTCAGCGATTGGCTGCTGGGTCCCCTCGGTCATCACCCCCATATCATATCACCCACCCATACAACTGTTCGTCAGCCGTCAAATAGCACCGTCTTTGGCCATCGCGGACGGATCAAATCCCTTGAGGATTTGCAACGGCCACGTTCGGGTTCGGGTTTGGGTTCTGGATGTCTCGGGCGGATTTGTCACCCCTGCAGCCCCTTTTTTCTATCCACGGGCGTTTTACGGTTCCCCTTTGCTTCCCACATTTGGTCTCGGCGTTTCTCTTCTACACTATCTATGCTGCCCCACTAGACGCCGGTCTATGGCAGCACCGGAATTCGGTGGATTTTCTTTCTTCTATCTTTGGTTTCTTCTGCTGCGGTCTTGGCCTCGCGCCCGAGCGGTTTCTCTCTCCATTTCGGTCTCTGGGTCCGGTATTGGGGGAATCAACCCGTTGTGGAATCGGTAGATCTCGCGCAGCTGGTGATTGATTTCTCACGGGGAACGCGATGGTGGTCGTTTTGACCGGCGGTGCTGCTGCTGCGCCGTTGCCATTTAGCAGCAGCTTGGCGTCGCCTGGCTGGCTTTTTTCACGCCGGCTGAGCCCGCCTTGGTTTGCCTGTATTTAGATGAGAGGACGCAAAGCAAAAAGTTGCATTCCCTACATCTGTCTCCGCCGTGATTGCTGTGATATAATTCTGACTGGTTTACGGGTCTTTGGATCACCCAGCAACCTACCTATCGTGTGACTGACTGACCCCTAGTATCAACGCATCAACATGTGCTGCCATGGAGGGAGACCTCGCCGTCTGATGTTACGAGCCCTAACTGACAGTGGGTGAGAACAGAGATAGATAGATATCTATCCCCAAAGCAAAACTACCCAACCACTCACCCAGCACCCCCGCTACGGCGCTTTAAACTCCCATCCCTTCCAGTTGTTTGGCACAACGCACTAAGTAAGCCTTTGCTCGTCAAACTCCTCCCAAGGTCTTTCTTTCCGCTCATAGACACCGAGAGGAGCTGTGCACAGGATACTTTACTTTACCTGGCGGCTATCTCTCCCTCTCCTAGTGTCCCCCTCTGTCTTCCCCGGCCTCTGGGCCTACCCCCTATCTCCATCACTCTGTTTGCCTCTGTGGCTCGCTCCACGAACCTTCGGAGATTTGCGAGGTCCGTGAGCCAAAAGTCTCCTGAGTATGTGGCGGCTGATGATGTGTATAGGCTGTTGGAAGGGTGGGGGGCTGGCGTGGGATTGACCTCCAGCTGATAAATTGAGAAGCAGACAAGGGCGGCAGTCACTGGCTACTAGAAATGAACCCCAAGAGCAAGCGGTCGAAGGGTGGAACGGTCGGCTCTTGGAACCAAATAACGCCCTGGCCCTATCTTGCGGGGGCGGCCTTCGACGGAAAGGAGAATAAGTGGGAGAGCACAAGACACAAGGATCGTCAACGAGTATAACAATGGGGAAAAGATCGTTCCAAACACCAACTCCAAGCCGGGGAATCACAATGCCATTCATAAACGCAGAGGTCGCGGACAATTATCGTAAGCACCACGCAGGGCACCCGTCCATTCCTTTTTTGCTCAGCTAAACCGAATTCACCATCCCAATGCTCCCAAATGCCAGCATGACGCTGCTTGGCCTCGCCGTAATACCCAGGCGAGCCAGCCTGTCCGATATGCCGCTCCACTGCACGAAACAGTAGAATAACCAGAGCCAGAACACCGTTAGAGGTGTGGTATCCGTCAGGGTCGTCTGTGGCGAGACGTTTACCGGTAACGCCAGAGGGACAGGGTGTTGTGGCGCTTCCAGGTCTTTCTGCGGCCGGCGCGGGTCTTGTTGTAGCGGTGGCCCTTGTTGAGACCACGCGACTTCTTGCCGGTGGCGGTGAGGCCACGGGACTCGCGGTGCTTGTGGACGGGGTTGACGATCCAGTTGATGCGCGGGTCGCGGCGGATGGCCTTGTGTTGGGGGTCGACCAGGATGACCTCGAAGTACTTGTAGGTCGAGTCCTGGTTGATCCAGTAGGAGTTCAGGACACGGAGGTTGGCGCAGCGGCGGCCGACACGCTCCTCGGCGGTCGACTTGAGCGAGCGCTGGTACTTCAGCTGGTTGATACCCTGGTTGGTGGGCTTGCCTGCAAGTTGGATAACCGGGTCAGTTGTCTGCTCCATTGCTCCGATGTGCGATTGCCCCTCATTGTGGCATATGGGTAGTCCTCACCGTAAGTGGCACCCTTGGGGGCAGGGCGCTTGCGGCCACCACGGCGGACACGCACGCGGTAGATGACATAGCCCTGCTTGGCCTTGTAGCCGAGGCGGCGAGCCTTGTCGGGGCGGCTGGGCCTCGAAGCGCGGTGGATGACGTTCAACTGGCGGAGCTATATTGATGCACTCTCAGCAAATGTTCAACGAGTGTATAGCAAGAACGGCGCAAGTTCGTGGTTCCGTTTTGACGAGGATCCCGGTCTAAACAATCGAGTCCATCGTCGAGGAACCACCACAAGCGACCGTCCACAATCTCGAGGGTGCGTTAACTAACCTCCCAGCAGCGAACCCGGAGAAGGAAGCAGACGACATCGCTCTGCTTCTTCTTGGAAAGCTCCTCGAGGTACTTAAGGGCACCCATTTTGCCTATGCGGTCTCGTAGGTCAGTACCTTGTCGCCAACGGGTTCGGGCAATCAAAACAGAGGTTGAGAAAATCAACAGCCGCTAATAGTGCCGTCGTAAACTTGAAATCGGAATATACGCACCGGCCTGGAATTCCTGGTGTTAGTAGGGTGAAGGGAAAGCCGCCAAGTTCGTGAGAATCGGGAGAACAAAATTTCGGGAACTCTGCAATTGTGGAAAGCGAAAGCCCTAACCGAAGGGCTGAGCAGCTAAACCTGTTTTGGACTAGCGATGGCCCGTGCTAAAGTTCAACATCGACAAGTCTTGGCGGGACCCCACATTCCGCTGTTTGCTTCTCAAGGGATTCAAGCTTCGAGAACACAAATTGCTAGTCTATCAGAAGTTATGATGTTAGTTATCTGGGTACAATCTGTTCAAATTTGACAGATATCAAGCCACTATAGTCAAGCTGCAAATTCAGTTTCTCACAGGAAACCCTTCTTCTCATCGTGATTTTCTCAGCGATCAAAATCCAGCACCCGATTCAGCAACCCCAATAAGCCAGGTCAACCCGCCCACAACCAACTCGTTCATCCCTCTTTTGAAGGCAACGTCCTCACGACGCCCGCCAGCGCAACCATCTGTTTCCTTGCTGCAACCCCCCAGCTTTCTCCCCCCTTTAGCAGCCCCCAGCCCTTCCTCTTCCACTCAAACAACCCCTTCGCCAAGTTTTCTGCTTCGCTCGCGCCATCCCCATCCTCGACATCACTCTCTTCATCATCCTCTCCCTCTTTCTCACTATGTGGCGTGATCCACCCTTCAACAACCTTCTCGCCAAACACCTTCCCATACCCCAGCAGCTTCCGCATGCCCTCCTCGTCCTGCTCCCACATCTCGCGCGGCGACACTAGCTCCTGCGTGCGCGAATCCTTCTCAACCGTCCGATGGCAGTCGAGTATCGCGTGGCTGAGGCGTAGTAGGTGCTGGGTCTGCTCGAAGAGGGGGTTGTCTTTTGTGGAGAGCGTCGTCTGGGTCGCCGCGGTCTGCAGCGTGGCGTAGATATCTGCGAGGTTACCGCTAGCGGCGTCCGGAGGTTTGGCTCTGGGCGTGTATTAGTTAGGTAGGGGACTAGACAAGTAGATGGAGAGAGAAAGTTGGGTTGTTAGGTACCCACAAGTCTTGCTTGAGTCTCGACAACGTGGCTTCAGTTTGCGCTCGGCCTTGAGCGACTTGTTCTTTGAAACCCTGGATGAACTCTTTAGACTTTTTGTTTTGGTCCATCAGGTGCTGCTCGATTGTTGCTGGCCCCGAGGAACTTCTTTTTTTATGTGGGTTAGCAAGATGCAAAGGGGGCTGGTGGAAGAGTTGGTACCAACCGCCCAAAATTATCAAGACTATTGTCGCCATCGTCCTGGTTTGCAATTCCTGAGGATGCTCCCCTTGCTCTTTTTGAGGGTTTCCCGGAGAAGTCATCACTTTCTTCCCCGTTAGCGGCCGGCGAAGTCTTAGACGTACGGCTCGACCGTTTTCGAGGCGCTGGTTGCCTGGTTGGAGACGCGGAAACGTCTTTGTTTTTGCGCTTCGGCGGCATGGTAGGACTGGGGAAATCGAGCTAGATCCAATGCTAGCAAAAGAATGGGTATCAAGAGGAAGCTCAAATGTCGGGGGGGAGAGGACCACGGGCCCTACAGAAGTCGGAGGCTCAATATACAGCACAAGACCACAGAACCGAATTCGAACTTCAAATTGGTCTTCGAAGAATTTTTACCGTGCATGGAAAATGTCAATTGGCAGGTAATAATGCCTTCCCTGAGTAGGTTCAAGATTGAATACCTTGCTCCTTCCAAGTTCCTTCCTTTATTAACGACCCAACATCTCAAACACTTGGGGAAAGTGCCACCGACATACAAGACCAACATCGTGACTTTCATGTCACGAAGACTGGGGGTAAAACTAACATCAATACCATGCCCCTTGATGCTCCCAGGGACTCTAGACTACCTTACCTACATTCCAGTCGCTGGCTACTGTACATCTAGGTAAATGAACAACACACTGAACCACCCCGACACGACCTAGCCGTATATACCCGAGGCAGAACCGACGAGGCGAGGTAACAACAGCCCGAAAGCCAAGTCTTGATTGTCTGCTCTGTGGAGGTATCCCATCCCTAACCAAACCAAACTCAAAGCTGTCCCCGTTTTGTAGTCCGTCCCTCGAAACTGTAACATGCTCGCTGCGTGAAAGAGCAAAAACATATGAAAAGCCCTGAGCCTTCTCTCTCTGTCTCTGTCTATGGTGGAAAAAAAAAAAGCAAAAGAAGTCTTCCAGTTCATCAAAAGAAACAATCGACGGTTGTCCCGCTGAAAGGAGCGAAGAGGAGGGTAAGAAAGGGATGAAGAAAACAAGGGATGTGCCCCGTCTTCAGCCTGGCCAAGTCTTTCAAGTATTAAAGTCGGAAAAGAGAGAGAAAGGGAAAAGTGTAAAGACATGTAGTGAAGCCGCCTTGATCCCATATCAAAGAACCACATAAGAAAAGAGAAAGGTAACAATATCCCGTGGCTAGTCTCTTCAACCCGCATTCTCCAAGGTAGAGTGTAGGTGAAAGCCGCTTTGCGTGCAACAACCTAGCTGGTAGTATCGGCATGTCCCGTAGTCTCGTGAAGAAAAAAGAGTTCGTCCGTTACCGCATATGTATCTTTTGTGCATTGTTCTTCCTTTTGTGTACCGCGTTTCCAGGATAAGAGAATTGGATGGAGGTGTAGAAGTTGAGGTCAAGGGGAAAATGGGAAAGGACGCGACAGGGGGGGGAGGAATCGGCCTCCCGTTTCCTAGCGGGAGTTCAGCGACAGACCGTGGAATGACCCAATCATATCGGCATGTGCTCCAAGAGAAGCTATGGCCTGGTCATGTTGGGGGCCGGCGGCAGATTGTGGACTCGGGTAGCGCCCACGCCCATTGAAATCTCCTGCTTGCGAAAAGGTGCTCGCAAAGGCGTCGGGCCCTTGCGCCACACTAGGAGGATAAGACATCGCTCCCGCTCTATTCGCATTGGCGAAGGCGCCGTAGGGATTATACGGGTAGTTCGTGGCTGGATAATTCGATCCGGGGGCCACGGCACGGTCGGTATTGAACGGCGCCGTGAACGATGATTGGAGGCCACGGCCTACTTGGCTAGACCCAACGTAAGCAGACTGCGACTCTTGCTGCGGCTCTTGACGGCGTGCCGATGCGGTCGATCGGTCTACCACCGCCCCGGGTCCGACACCGCTGGGCGCCTGCAGCCCCAGAGTAGGGCTGGCAAACGATGCTGGGTTTATGGCCGACATCCAGATGCGTGTCTTGTAGATCTTGAAAAGATCCGTGACAAGGGAGTTGAAGTTGATGTATGTGTCGGCAAAGTAGTAGAAGGTCAGCTTTTTCCAATCCCTACTAGAAGTCAGCACAGTTGAGCAATTCGGGGGCGCGGCATGGTGAACTCACATCTGAAACTCGGCGTCGAGAATTTCCATGTTGAGGCCGTGTTCCTTGACCTTCTGCTGGCATACCCGCTTCGCCTTGGCCTCGTTGCCCTCCTTCTCCCGTAGAGCATAGATCTCGTGGCTTTGGGCAAGACGTTTGATCAGCTTGGGCTTGAGCTCGCCAGAACCGGGCTCCTGGATATGGTGATTTTGGCTTGGCGGACCCATACCGCCGACGGCGCTGCCCTGGAGACCGTTCGCCGCTGCCATGAGACCAGCGCCAGCGCCCTCGTGCGTCGCGGCAGCATTCTGTGAGTACATCATAAGCCATCGGTATTGCTCCTCGGCGTAGTGCTCCTTGAGATCCTTCGCAGTCTGCCAATCAACGTTATCTTGGGCAACCGTGCCCAGGTCGGTGCCCCGGTCAGCCTCGACAATCACCAGATCGCCCGGTTTAACTGTCAACCCAGTACCCTCCTGGATATAGAAGACGTCGGCCCGAGCGCATTTGAAGAGCACAATATGTAGGGTTTGATTGTGCCGCGGTTGGGGCACGCCGTACATGCTGCGATGGGGTGAGGTCGGTCGGTGGGAGTAAGACCCAGAAATCCCAGCATAGGGAGAGGGGAGGTGGTTACCGTACGCAGATTGTGCGAGGCCCTGCTGGGCACCACCCAGGGCACCGCCCAGGGCAGCCGCGCCAGTAAAGTAGGGTGACACTGAAATCATCGTTAGGGGATTGGTAAAATCACTATTCATGGACGCATGCGTACCTTGGCTGTTTACGGCGTAGCTCTGGCTCTCGTGGTATGCAGCCGAAAAGTCGTGCGCATGGGCAAGATCCTGAGCGGCCGATTCGTGAGCTTGGACAGCGTCACCTCCCATGGAGCTGATCGAAGCTTGTCGAGTGGGCACATCTGCGAACGAGTGTCGTCGGCTTTGGGGGAGATCCCCCAGGCCACCCAGTCCGGGTGGTGAGCTCTGCCAATACGCCCTCTTGAGATTTTCAAGATTCCGGTTTTCAACCGTATACGGGCTCTTGTAAGGACCGACGCCAAACTCGCTCATCCTCCGCGTAACGCCCATTCGAATTGCCGCATCAGAGCCGTCATTCAGCTCATCGTGCTCGTCGACCGCGTAGTCCGATTCTTCCGGCACCGTCTCCTGCAGATAGCTGGAATTGAGGCCAAAGGCGCTGGCCGTCGAGGCCCTAGGACGAAGCCGCGCATGGTATTGTTGTTGTTGTTGCTGCTGCTGACGCAACATCTGGTTTTCTCGCGTCAACATTTCGATCGTCTTGGCCTGGTCTTGATGCTGGATTTCCTGCATGGAACCACTGCTATCGTCGTCGTCATCCTCGTTCACCTTTCCTAACATGTTGCCGTCATTCGATACCTCGCTCAGCATACTTGGCCGGGACGGCCGGTGCTGGAGGCCGGGATGCCCCATCGTTCGACGGGTGCCCATCACCGGCGGCGGAGCCATGCTAGGGGTGACGGCCTCAGGTTCGAGTTGGCCGACCGAGTAGGACTGAGAGCGGTATGTCTTAGGGGTTGGGTGCAACGGAATGTGAAATGGGATCTGTGAATTGGGAGGGTCTCTCGGCGCGGGTGAAGTCTGCGTCACACCGGCGTCGGCACCAAAAAACGAGTTGTTTGAGCCTCCAGGTGCAACGGTGGAGGTGGGTGAGGGTAGAACCTCCGACAGGCGTGGAGGGGGTTCCTTTCGATCGTTATTCCAGATGCCGGTTGGCCACGCAAAAGCGCCGCCGCCCACGTGAGACCGTCCAAGAACGCCACCCGTGGCCGGGTGAGAACCCCAGGCCGTGGGCCCCGTCTCGCCGGACGGGGTAGCTGGGTGTGAACCCGTTGGGGACATAGGATTACCCGCGAATGAGCCTTTCCTCTGGGCCTGGCGGGGTAAAGGTTGCTGGGACGTATCGTTCAGCCAGGATGACCGGCGAACCGGCTGCGGCGGCTGGACTGAAGGAGGAAGAATATCCTGGCGGTGATTCTCAGGTTCGTCATCTGAGCTTGCCAGCGCTTCCGAGTCAGGAGTCGATCTCTGATTCAACTTCTCCAACAACAAAGCGTGGCTACTCGGTGGGCCAGCCGAGAAATTGCTTTGGCCCGGCTTCGATGAAGCCCCGGGTTTGGTCGTATTGGAGCTCATAGCGTACCGCAAAGACAAGGATGGGGCTCTAAACGAGAGTTGTGAGAGCCGTGGAACAGGTGTGGGGGCGCACTGGACAGAGATCGTGATTCGAGAGGAGGGTCAACTGATAGACTTGGGTCAGCGAGGGTCGATAGGGTGGTGTGTGGTTGGAAGTGCGATGAGATGATAGAACGGGGCTCTGCTTCTATCGCAAAATGAAGAGGGGAGGGAATATTATATGCTTCGGTATCGGGGAGATGAGATAGAAGGAGAGAGCACTGACGAGAAGAGAAGTTTGGATTATGTCTGGAACGAGGGGTGTTTCCTTTTAAGAGTCGGTAGTTTTCGGTTTCCAAGCCACTCAGAACCGTGGCAAGAAGTGAGCGTCAAGAAGAGAGAGAGCAGTGGGGGGCTCGATGACGAGAGTGTACGTGGACGGCACTGTCACGCGGTTCGGAGAAATCGATGTGGAAGCTTTGACCGAATCGAAAATGGTGAGCGCCGTCGAAAGAACAAAACTTGGGACGGTTCGGCCCGTGATCTGCTCGACTGGGAGGAAATTCGATCACGGGAAACCCGATCGATCTGTCAGGGAAAGCGACCAGGCAATTGATGCACGGGGGGTTTCGGTCAGATATGACGTGCGCCGCCTCGGTGGAAGAATGCGACAGCGCTAATCGCGATCTCCCATTGCAGGGCGCGAGGGCGCTCAACCGAGGTGTGGAGAGACAATTCGTAAATCGTGGATCGCGTGTTCGCGGGTGGAATGGTTTGGATGGCCCGGATGGTAATAAAGCTTTGGCAGCTTGTGCAATGCTCTCTTTAAGCGTCGCTAAATCTGCATTATAGAAAAAGAATGAGAAGGGCGTCCGCGTGGTGGCGGAGGGGTGGGGGAGGGTAAAAGTGAAGATATGGGCGTCGAGATTCCGGAACGGAGGCGCGAGGTCAGCGTTCTCGTGCACCTGGGAGTGGCCCCGTCGAGGTGTGAGCGGGGAAAGCTGGGGGAGGCGCGCTGCTCGATGAGTGGCCGGGATCCTTGTCAGGACAGAGAGGCTAACCAAAGGCAGACCAGGCCGCTCGATACGTTGACGCCGTGGCGATGGGAAGAACAAGGCTTGACATCGAGCACCCCGGTTATTTGGCCAAATGATGCTTTATTGATGTCGAGGCTTCGAGAAGGGAAAACATAAGATGAAGAAGAGTATTATAACAGTTGGGTAAAGGCAGTGGATAGAATGCGACGTCGTGCGCGCCGCCGCCTTTTTTGTCACTTGATCCGCTGAATCGTCCGTCGGTGGGGACCGGACAAAGACACCGGTGGGCCTGAACTCCTGCAACCGAGCGCTCGAGAACGGACGCAAGGGGCGAAAGAAGGCCACGGGAGGTGAGGGGGGTGGAGACAGAGAATCGTCGAAGACGACAACACAATCGATGGGGATGGTGTTGCGTGGTGTTCAATGGGACACTCTCTCGAGGCATCCCTGCACTGCACATCTCAAGTGGGGTGTGAAGCATTGCAGCTTTTGCTCTGGGTCGCTCCATGCCAAGCAAGTGTTAGCGCAGTACCTGCACTGTCCGGGCCTCGACCACGACACCCCAAGGAACGCTCCGGAAACGTCAACCGGTGACGATGATGATGAACAAGCATCAAGCGCCATGCGTCATCAGGATAGATACGAAGATGGCGAGGTCTTGCGCGTCATGAGGGGGCAAACAAGCCTCTGTTTTGCGTCTCTTGAGAAATAGCAAGATGTCTGCGCACCAGGCGAGAACACACACCTGTCTCTCGATATCCAAGCTGCCGAACTGCCGCCATAGGAAATAGCTACATCGGGAATTATATGCAATGCTTATATTGCAAACATGAAATAAAACACACAGCGTTTTTAGGTATCGAACATGCAGTGTCAAGGATGGGTAGACAAGGTAGACAAATTGGGAGTATCAGAAAAGCTTCCCGGAGAGATGTCCCGTCGCCGCTGTCGTTCGTGCTAGTTAGATACCTCGACTCTTCTCGACTAGCTTCACGTTCCATACATTAATTCAACTCCTAGAATATTCTATACTCACCCCCGAATTATGACCTACCCGTCGTGCCGTCTCGCCCTCCCTCAACACTCGCTGTAGGCTCCAGTTAAATATTAAATAATTACCTGGGTACTTCGTGCCCGTAGTTCGAAGCCCCCGATGCGTCGCATGCCTGCCTCGTGGAAGCTGCATCGTCCACGGGCAGCTTGGCACGAGATGATTTCCCCATTCACACTGTGTAGAGGGAAAAAAACCCATGACCCCTGACCTTTAGGGATGTCCATCATTGGCAGGCCAGGGGCTTCTGGCGGGGAAAGAGGGGCCCATGAGCTTCCTGGTCCGTTGGTGCAACGCCTCTCTTCCTCCAGCTCGGGGAGCTCCCGTCTCTTCTGAAGCTTCGAAAAAAAAAAAAAAAAAGAGTAACTGTCATACCCACCAACGCATGGGATAGTGCCTGCTAATTTCAACGGCGAACAACTCGAAGCGAACCTTCGGTTTATCAACTCGCAAGCGACCCAATTGCGCTCGGAAGATCCCCGCTTACCTACTCATACGAGATACATGAGAGAATTCCGTTGGGACTGGTAGCAATTTCGTGTGATCGACAAGCACCTATTCATAGGCACAGCTTCCAAGTTGCGGTGCTCCTGCTCCTGGAAACCCCAGACCTCAAAACTTTGGACGACGGTGAGAGGATGACCCCACATACAAATTAGCAACGGCAGGAACACACGTTTTCAAGGGCTGCAGGCGGCCAAAAACGGCTGGGAGATGCAGCTGGAAGGGAGCCTGGCTCACCGAGTCCAGTGGCTGTCCCTCCTCACAAGACCTCGCCAGCGCTCACCGGCCCTTGGAGTTTTATGCTCTCATCCCGCCTTTTGCAATGGTTGTGTCGGCCGGGCGATGAGGAGGTACAGCTAGAAGAATGCCGGGTCTGTGGTGCGACCGCATCATCAGAAACTACCCCGCAGAGATGAACCAGTCGTCGGGGGCGGTTGAGGTCGCTACCAAGCACGGGAATCGAACTCGAGCAAGGGAACGGATGCGTCAGGTTCGGGCTTCCAAGAAGCAGGCAAGAACTGGCTCGAGGCCAGACAGCTGCACAGACATCACGCGGCCCCCTGCCGTTAACATCAGTCCGCCATGCGAATCCGCCATGCGAGTCCGTCATGCGCCTGGTTAGTGCTGCGTCTCCCCGGGTGGAAAACCCGCGAGCACAGCAATTGTGCGGGGATCCATTCTCGCAACTCGGGGGGTTTCATCTCAAACCCGCCCAGTGGCATTGTCTAGATCCCCATCGCTGGGCTGGAGCGTCATCGACCGATGAACGATCAGGCCACGAAGGCGAAGCCAACTACAGTACCGATCCGTAAAGCAGGCGACGACGGAATTCCTTTCCTCTATCATAAGACAATTGCACGCCGTCGAACGCATATGGCGGCGGGCGCATCAGCCTAAATCGCAGGCCAACTCTCTAAGTGCGCTGTACATACTGCATCGACATGAAGGTCTTCTCCTCAACTCTGTATACCCCCATGCGTCATCTGTATTTATTAGTTAAGGGAGAACTATGTCGTTTGCTATAGCGCGATGAGGGCTCTCCGGTCATGTTTTATCGGTGCCGCTGGTGTCTCGCAACCTTCATGCACGAGGCATATCTGGTTCGGCCTGGATGTTTCCGCGCTCGAGGCGGGGAAGGCAGCTTCGCTACCCCAGATTTTACTCAACCCCCCTGTCCCTACCGACCCACCGCATGGGCAACAGAAGCCGGGTGTTGGAGATGTTGGCTAACAGTGACAACATGAACGAAACGAAAGCCATCCAGAAGCCCCCAATACCCATTTACTCAATTCACTTTTTATTCTACTCGGTTATATCATCATGTTTCTTTTTCTCAATATGTTTTCTTTAATTGCTTTTCTACTTTCTTATACTCGATCTTAATCTCCTTTAAAGTCCGACAATTCTTTTCGGTCAAAGTGCTAACCGCCTCCCCCAAATGTCACCCGGCACAGGAAGGTAAGCGGCCGCTGCCGTCTCCGCTGTGGAGTAAGGTAGCCAAGACTGGACAAGCTCCCGCGAAGCTTTGATGATGGCTTTGAAGCCATTGCATCGGCGACGTCTAACCGAAGCCTCCAGAAGCCGAGGACTGACCTATTGCTGCTGCTATCTAAATGAGAAGCTCACCGGCCCTGTGCAACTTCAACTGCTCGATGTTGGTGATACAACCCCAGAATTGCTTGGCATGCATCTGAATCCCGCGGGCTCGTGCGCTGATATTGGAATACTTCTGACTGCTTAGAGCTCTCCTCATTGGAGGTTTCGGCCACCGTGTGGCAAAGGTCAAGCACAGCCAGAGGCTTTGCAGGAGAGGACCCCTTCTGCCCATGCCGATCCCTCCGCCGAGCGCCCTGTGATAAACAAGAAAGCAAGATCAAGGCCGGCTATCTACAATTTCCTGCAGAATGACGCTGTCGGACACGTGAGCGTAGTAGAGCACGGCTTAGAGATCACCGCACTGCAAGGGGAATGGGAGTGGGATCTACACACTATACCACTAGTCCCCGTCGATGGTGAGTTTCGTGTCCTACCAGATGTAGTCTAACGCGGGCAGCAGCAGCCTCCACAATGAAGATGTTGTGTGGGCTCAGCGTGAAAGTCACCGCCTTGAAAGAATAGTACCAAGCCTTTTGTGTGTCCGAAACGCCTAAAATGCCCCAGAGTATATTAGCCAGAGGCCGTTTACAAACAAGACAACCCCATCCCCATTAGCCAGATGCAGTATCAAGCGAGCCCTTGCCCACGGTTGAAGGCGGCACCTCGCCCTTCTGCGCCTTGAGCTTCTCCTCAAACTTGGCGAACTCTGCCAGGGCAATTTCCTCCTCCTGGTCTAGCACCTGATGCACACCCTGAACTTCCTCGATCTGCAAGTACCCAGTCAGCACACACAGCACACTTGGCGAGTTGAACAACAACAGAGGCCAGACTTACGTAGTGCATCAACATGCCCTCAATCCCATTCTTCAACGTCACCGTGCTCGAGTCGCACGTCCTGCACGCGCCGCGCAGCTTGAGCATCACATAGCCATTCTCAAACCCCCTGAACTCGATATCCCCACCATCCTCCTGAATCGCCGGCCGCACGCGCGTCTCCAGCAACTCCTTGATCATACCCACCACCTCGCTATCATTCTCATCATACGCCAAACTATCCTTCTCCTCCGCCGCCCCCTCCCCCTCCCCCGCCGCGCCACCAACACCACCACCCCCCTCCTTCCGCTCCGCCACGTTCACAATCGGCTGGCCCGAGGTAATGGCCTCGGTGATGAGCGCAAACACCTCGGGCCGCACGTGGGCCCAGTTGGCGTCGGCGGCCTTGGTGACGGTGATGAAGTCGGCGCCGTAGAAGACGGCCGTCACGCCGTCAATGTTCATCAGCTGCGCGGCCAGCGGCGACGGGTGCGGGGGCGCGATGGTCGCCCGCGGGTTGAGGTACTCGATGAAGGGCGTCGTGAGGCCCGCGGGCAGGATCTGGTGGTTGGGGAGGAACTTGAGCGCGTCGGCGTTGGGCGTGCTCTCCGTCTGGATGAAGATGCTGCGCCGGGCTGTGTGCGGGAGGAGGGCGCGCCAGGGTTGGGCGTGGGTTGTTGGTGCGAGGCGGGGGCGGAGAGGGGAGGATCGGCTGGATGGGAGGCTGTTTGGCCTGCTGGTGTGGGCGTGTCTAACGGGTGTTGCTGCAGTTGCTGGGGTGGTTTGTTGAAGTCGGCGGCATGTGGAGGGTTTGATGGGACGGGTGGTGGTAGATAGTAAAGGCGCAAAGCCTCGTAGTAGCTTGTTTGACGGCATCATGGTGGTGTTGCCTGTCGCGTATGTTGTTTGTGTGTTTCCGGGTTATTGCAGATGTGATGTTGAAAGAAAGAAAGAAGCAACCATCTCCAACACTGTGGTGGGGATCAATCCCAACATCCATTGCCGCTCATGCCGCTCAAAGCATCTCCGGCGCCGAGGAGCTGACAAACCCAGTCGTTCCGATCGGCCCAGGGGGACCCACAGAACCCTTGGTTTTGCGTCATAGCAGCCTCGGCGCCCCTAAATTTTTTGTCGGCACTCGAGTGGCACCTTGCGGGTTTGCTTTTCGCGCTCCACGACCTCTCAGTGGCGGGGGCAAATCCACCACCACCAATGAACCAGTGAACGTTTCTGCACCTCGTGCACTTCACGTGTAGCATCGACGAACCTTTTCCACTTCAAGCCGATCACCCGCAGAACGCGGCCCGGGATTGGCGAAGTGGGATTCCAGAACCGCCATTGTCGCAACGCCGTGCAGCCGACGGCTCGGGAAGCTGCCGATTCGACAAATCTCCAAGCTTCCTCTTCCCGATCGCGTGTAACCAAGATTCAACATCGTGCCCCAGGCGAAACGAATTTTTGAGCCATCTTGCCGACTCGCGTTTGATCAAGCGCAAAAGTGTCACGATACTAGACCAGCACGGCACCCACGGTATCTGCGCCATGCCGGCCGCGGAGGACGGTAGTCCTGCGCTGCAATCGACAATGCTCGGTGCGGTTTCGCCCGAACGGACCGCGCCGCGCGAAGGAGATCCTGTCGCAAATCCGGGGTCAGGCTCGGATGCTAACCCGTCGTCCCCGCCGAAGAAACCAGATCCTAAGCTTTGCGGCGTATGCGGCACACAGCCGGGCAAGTACAAGTGCCCTCGGTGCTCCATGCCATAGTACGTCCCGTCGTCTCGTCTTACATCCCACCAGCGCCACAGTACTGATTACCATTTTTTCAGCTGCTCCGTCGCCTGCAACAAGCAACACAAGGAAAACCACCCGCCCGACGCGCCCAAGCCCGAACCACTACCCACCACTCAACCCCAACCGCATCCCGCGCAAGACGATCCCTACAGCATCCTCCTCGAGCACCGCGACGAGTTCAAGCACCTCCTCGCCCGATACCCCTCTCTCGCGACCGAGCTCGTCCGCATCCAAGAAACGACCCTTCCTCCCGCCGACAACCCCGGCCCCTCATTCTGGTCGAGCGCCATCACGGCAAACACGGGCCGCAATAGGCAGCAGCCATGGTCGAAGGACGTCGGTCTGCGCAAGGGTGCTGAGGCCCTGCGCAAGGCGAGGACAGATCCCACCGATACGGGCGACGGGGTCCGTGAGTTTTGTGATTTGGTCAAGTTTTTGCTGAACAAAAAGAGTGTGGGGATCGACAGGGTTCGGGAGGAGGTGGCGGCGGAGGAGGCCAAGTATATCGAGCGATTGCTGAGGGAGGAAGGGGGCTAACCGGCCTTTTGGGTTTGGATGGTTACAGGAGGGCTGTTTTGATATTGTAAGATTTGGAGCATGGTTGGCCTAGGGGGCCTCGATCCTTTCTGCGCTAGGCGGCCGATGCAAGATATGAGCATATGATGAAGACCACGGAGCGGGCGGCCTATGAAAATGGCCATCTCTCACAGAGAACTAACCCCCCCGATAAGAGCGCACGTTCATCATATCATTATCATTACTATCCAAACCCCAGCTAAAACGTCAGGTGAGACGCTCCCCCGTCTGTTTCCACCCTCCCTTCCGCTATGCCATCTATCGCTCCCAAACTAACGCTTAAACCGCCCAAAGAACCCCTTCCCCCCCTTCGCCGCCGTAGGCGTAGTAGGAGACTGCACCACCTCCTCCCCCCCAACCCCACCGTTACCACCACCACCACCAGCAGCAGCCGAGTCCTTACTCCCCCTCCGGCCCCTTAACGTCCACAACGAATCCGCCTTACGCAACAACGGCGAAAGCAACATCTTCGGCCCGCCCCCGCCGCTCCCACCCCCAACCCCACGACCATGCCCATGACCACCACCCCCACCACCCACCCGCCCCAACCCGGACCCCGACCCCAACCCCGAGCCTACCCGCCCACCAACCTCGTCACTCTGCGTCCAATCGACGCGCGCCCGCTCCGCCGCCGCAAACCGCCCCAGCTCTGTCCCCGTCCCATCCATCGCCGCGGGGTCGTCCTCCAGCAGCGTGTCCATGATGAGCGTGTCCGGCGCCGCGATGAGCGAGTGTCGCGCGTGGTGGTGACCGGCTCCTGTCGTCGTTGCGGGGTCGGTGTGGGTGGCGGTGTTGCCGGTGCTGTTGCGGCGGAGGTGTTTGGCGCCGCCGCTGCTGCTGGTGGGGAGGATGCGCGAGAGCTCGTCCTCGAGGGTGTGCATGCGCCGTTGGGTTGGATGGTGCGGTTGGGCGGCAGCGGCGGCGGCTTCTTCGAGGGCGTGCGTGCGCTGGAACTGGTTGCGGTCGAGGAGCTTGTCCCGCTGGGATTGGTTTTGTTGGAGGGCCCGGGTGAGTTCGGCGGGGGCGAGGATGGCGGGGTTGGAGGTGCTGCTGTGGTTGTTGTTGTTGTTGTTGTTGCTGCCGACTGGGCGGAGGGCTTTGGGGCCTTCGAGGTGGAATTTGAGGGCGTGCTTGGAGAGCTTGTGCACGAGGCTGCTGTCGCGCATGTTTTCGACGGTGGTGGTTCGTGTGAACTGCTTGGCTGCCTCCTGCGGGACGTGGTGGTAGGCTTCCGGGTGGGAGTCTGGGGCTGGCTTGTGCTTGGTCGACTCTGTTCTTCTGAGTTCCGTGACCAAGTCGGCGGGGGGTTCGGCAGCTCTCTGACGCGTTTCTCGGCTCTGAGCGCTCAGGGTTGTGCCCATACTGTCTTTGGAGTGCGATGGGTCGCCGCGAGCCCGTCTTCTCCGTTCTGCGTGCGCCTTCTGCTCGGCTAGAACGATATATAGCCGGCGAGTGAGATCGTTAGGATCCAACTGCCCGGCCGGCACCTTGCTTGCCGCTTTGTACGGTCCCCCGCTCGGTTTGTAGCTTCCAGAGACGTGATCCCTGGTGTAATTCATCTTGTACTGCATGATCCAGGGCGATTCGGCAAACATTGAGTCCCGCACAAGCTAAGCGGACCAGATGGAGGGTCAAGAAATGACCAAGCGAATAAATCAAGTCGACTCTGATTACAAAGCGGCAGCGGTTTCTAGCAACGCCTCGAGCTACGTCTTTTGCGTCTTGTCCTCGAAATTCTTGCTTGCGGGGTTCTAAATAGCGCCGTCTCGGCTGCTGTCTCAACTTGGCGTGAGAGACAGGAGGGTGGGTGGTAGCAGTGTCTTAGATCGGTGATGACCCCCCGGTTGAGAGCGTGACCCGTTCACGGCCGAGACATCAAGCAATGCGACGGGTTTCGGGAGATTGTGCAGTCAAGAAGGTCATTGGAAGTTCGAGACACTGGGCGAGGTCACAGTCATGTACCTACATATGTATGGGGAAGGGGGGGATCGAGGAGATGCCGACCCGCGCCGGCCCCGGCCTCTCCCCCTTGTCGCCAATGCAACCAGGCTCAAGCGAGGGCCACAGAGCACACGACCGTTGAAATGGGGGCGATTGGCTTCGCACGGGTCCCATGCTCGAGTGTTGAGTCCATGACGGCGACCAACAGGAAACGAGTCAGGACTGCAGTGCTTGACGCCCTGAGATGCAGAGTCGCATTAGCACTGGATAAAGTTGATCAGATGCCCGATTCGATCGTGGAAACTGGGGAGGATGTCGTCTTCCACTGGTCAGCACCTTGTCTGCCAGGGGTCTAGATGCAAGCTAGTGTTGAATGGACTGACGAGCACCGGTCACTTGATCGATCGAGAAAATACACGGAAAAATACGGACGGAAGACTTGTCATCGTGTTCTTGCAGAAGCGTGCTTGTCCTTCACTGCAATCCCATATCATCGTGCATCTGTTCCTGCGTGGTAAATAGCTAACTACCCCTGGATACTGAAACTGGTCTTTTGATAATCTTTCCTGTTTCTCCTCGGTGTGAACCAGCAGAGACATGTGTCTCACTCGGCAGGCTCGTGTCAAGCACGCAAGCCCCGAGGTGGGAAAAGGGGTTAGGTAAAATTCGCTCTAGACTGGTGCTAAGGTGGTTTGATCGGGTTAGGCCCAATTTCAGCAGACGCCGAGTCAACCACCCCGGTTCCGATTCTTGGGGACGAGGAAGTCCTCTTCTCCTGCTGGGTAAATCCCGCCTTTCCCCCAGCTTCGAGAAGTCATTCGTGCGAGAGACGAGCGGAGGCGAAACTGGTCATCATCTTCTGATAGTTGGCCCAAGACGATGACGAGCCTATGACACTCGAGTCCCACTGGTGACGACCCATGACCTACGGATTGTCGAGGTGGGTGGGTTTGGAGTTAAGGTGATGGTTAGGTATTCATGTATATGATGTGTGTGATACCTATGTGAAAAGCAGATGTGGGAAGGCAGATGTGGGAAAGGAATGGTTTCCTCCGCTTTGTACCTAAGTAGCAAACACTGTAATTATAACCCACGGCATCGACAGCTCTCATGTGCTTCCTGCAGAAGCAGTCGGGAAACACGTTTCGTTCGGTGCCGTTGATGCAGTGGTTGCAGGAACGGGCCCTCGGTTGGAAGAACGCGCAGAAGCAACAAAAAACGCCTATGATGTTGACATGCATGGCGAATGCGGGGATGGTCTGTAACGTTATCGTGAAAACCCCGCTGATGCGCACATGTGCATGTACATACACAAACGCGGCGCTGCTGTCGATATTTGAGAACTCAGAACTGAGAGCTAAAAACTGAGATGGAGAGCCGATCAACCCATACCAAAGCCTACCTTGGGTCATTCCCCATGGCTAATCGTGCCCGTCGGTTACTAAATCATAAGCCACATTTAAGTCTAGGAGCCTCGAAGCCACCAATGCTGTTTCCTTTGTGCGGTCGAAACGAAACGTTGTTGATATCATCGGCGTTTCGAAACTGCTCCGTCAAAATGTTGAAGGGCATGTGAAAGGCTTCCCAGATGCGGCGGTTGATACATACGGCATCGATCGCTGTTTGCTGGGTTTGCCCAGTAGGTAGGCAGCGGGAGGTAAGTTCTCGATATTAGCCGGTCGCAGTTCACGATTTGTTGGTCGGGGACAAACCCTCAGATCGGCACCGTTTGGGCGTCTGGAAGGTCCGAAAAAGCAAGATATTGTTTGGCGCTTGTTTCGTCCTTCTTTTGCTCCTTCTTCTTCCTCGGGTTTGCCGTTGGATGATCTCTTGGCACTGGATAAGACACCTCAGATTTGGGCAGCGCAGCAGCGTGGCAGCTTTCTTGGCCTTCCATTTCTTCAAGGGCAGGCAGGGCCAGAGGAACTTCCACATCCACGGCTGCACGGGTTTATCGTGGGGGGGGGGGCCCACAGTCATTTCCCGGCGTCCCCAGAACCCTAAACTCGCAGCTGCACAACACCACAAGAAGCAGTCAAGCCTGGGGGGTGACTGCCACACTGCAAGCAAGCCCCATCCCGCCCCCAGTTTCAACTCTCAACTTCGGAAATCTTTGCAAACGAACGACGATCGGGTCCGCGCAGCCTGCGCCCGCTTATAAAGTGTTTCCCCGATCTGGCTGCTGCTTGCTGCGGAACGCTGCAGCCCACGTACTCGACATCCGAGTGGCCGAGATCTCATTTGCGTTTGCTCTCGAGTTAACATCACAACTTGACGACGGGGACCCCTTGTTTGGGCGTGGGCTTGGGTGCTTGCTGCCCCGGCTGCTGGGAAGGAAGACAAGGTGACAAGCTGTGCCCTGGTCTCGCGGCATCCCTTGATGGATCCCAGGACCCTGACCCTGAAAGGAGTCTAAATCCAACCCAGCCCAATCAACGGATTCGTTCGTCAATTTATTATCAGTCGGGGTGTTTCTTCGAGCTTGCTGAACTCCATCTCCGTCTCCCCAATCCGGCCCCAAAGCGGTATGCTCTCGCTGTCTTCTCGAGCCGCCATGTCCTCTGATTAGCCATGCGGGCACAGACTCACCAGCCCGTGTCAGACCGTCCCGGAGGAGCGCTGCCGAAGCTGTCTGTGCCGTCGGGTACCCCGCTGCGAGTTGCTGGTTCTGGTGCTGGTGCTGGTGCCGGTGCTGGCGCTGGTCCTCGTGCAGCGGCTGCGACGGCGAGAACAGGCGAGCCAAGCTTCGCACCACCCTCCGGACAACTTGCCTCCGTTATAGGCTCCGAAGGCACCTTTCTTCTCGTCGACGACCCTCCTGCCGCCGGCACTAGAGATTCCTTCGCTTCCATCGTCGACGACCCGTTTTTCGTTCGTTACCACACCCCCGAACCCGACCCCGATCCCGATCTCCATTCCGCGACCCATCCCCATCCCGGCCCGCCAAACGCCCCAACGAGTGCTGGTCACCGTGATGAGGAGCGACAGCCGTGGATCCCGCCGCGAAAAGAATCCCTGAGCCATACCAATCCGACCCCCTGGGTACGCACCTTGACTTTTTTGCTACTTCCCTGCTCCCTCCAGAGAGGAATCATCGTCACGGCGCCGCCAAACGCTTCCCCGAAACGCCCCAGGGAGAGGCACACGCACACACACAGAAAGAAAGAGAGAGCGGGAGATGCTGACTGCTAGTTTAGTTCGAGCATGCCCAATCCGACATGGAACCTATCAACATAGCCATCATTGGCGCCGTAGGAGTGGGCAAGTCCACCTTCATACAACACCTGCGCCGGACACCCAGGCCGTCGGCCTCCAACATCACGGCCCTACGCCACGAACTCGATGGCACATCCTATCTAGTCACGCTTGTCGAGCTCGATCTCGAGGGCATCGAGCTGGACCCAAACCAGCCCGTACACTGGCCGAAGCAAATCGGAGGGCACTCGGTGCCCCGCATGGATGGCGCACTGATCCTGTACGATGCCGTGAATGAGGGGAGCATGCGGGAAGTGCCCCCAATAATGGGTAAGTCTCAGTCTCGAACCGACGCGTCATCCGACACATGCTCATTGGCACAGCCGCCCTGGCGAATTCCTCCCTACCGACCGTGCTCGTCGCCACGAAATGCGATACTCCCGACGACCTACGGCGCCCCGATTTGTCGGGGCTCGCAGCCGCCTTCGCGACGTGCGCCGGCCATTTCAGGACCGCGTCCAACGCGCCAGCCACCGTCCGGGAATGCTTACAAGCCATGCTGAGAGTTGCGCTGGCCAACCGGAGAGGTGAGATCTACGTCCCCGGCGCTTCCTCCCTGCCCCACTTGTGTGCTGCCGCATCACCAGAGCGGTCACGGGCTTGCCAGTCAGCCGTCTACCATGGGCTCGGTACCGGTAACACGCTGTGAGACGAGACTGACGAGAAGCATCACACTCACCAGACAAATCAGAAGGCTCGGGCCAAAGAAGGCGCGCTGCTTCGACGGCAAATCTAGATGCGCCCATGGATCTCCATAATGGCCGCCCAATCAGCCAGCACAGTAAGCACAGCAGGGCCAGCTCCGACTTCTCGCTTCTGCGGGGCTTTTCACAACCTCCCAACGAAGGCCAGTACAGAGGCCCGCCATCAAGGTCTCCGAGACTGGATTATCAGAGCGTCGCGTCCAGCAGCAACCTGAATCCTAGCGCCGCCATTCCCGAGGACGGCAAGCAGCAGACGGTGTCGAGCATGCTACGGACCCCCGGTATTCGGCTGGACGGTGGCGGTGAATCCTTCCTCGACGTTGACGAATCCGATGGAGAGTCTTACCAGTACTCGGAAGACATTCCGATCCTGCGCCGGAGCGAGGACGGCTTTGACAGGCCGGCAAAGGTGACGGGCGTGAGTTTTGACGACCTCGTCGACAGACTGCTTGCCCCAAAGATGTCCAAGGCAGATCAGAACTTTGCCGACGTCTTCCTTTGCCTGTACCGGAAATTCGCCGCGCCGCACGAGCTGCTTTCGGCCATCCGCACCCGGCTGGGCCCAGTGCGGACCGACCGGGCGGTGGAGCATCTGGTCAAGATAGAGACGCAGATGCGAACGATCGAAGTGGTGGCGAAATGGCTCTCGCTGTATCCTGGGGACTTCGCCAGGTCAGCGACGAGGAGGAGTTTGGAGGAGCTGATCCAGCAGTTGTCGACAGAGCCGGTCTTCGTCGCAGCCGCACAACAAATGAGGGTGCATCTTGACCACAGAGTCACACTGGACGACGACACGGGCTGGGCGAAATCAGACCCAGCCGACGAAAACGAGGGCAAAGAGGGCGCGGGACAGAGACGGAGCGGGGTCGCAGAGTCGATGAGCTCCCTGCAGCTAGATGATTCGGGCGTGCCCAGCCAACGGCGCCCGTCACAAAGCTCCGACTTGTCCGCTCTGGAGGGTCGCGGCGCCCGGGGACCGGCACGGCTCCATTTCCATTCGGTCGAAGACTACGAATGCGAGGCAGCCACCCTGGTACCATCGCCCATACTTCCCCTGAACAAATTCCGGTACCACATGTTTATGGAGCTCGACGCCGAGGACATCGCCGACGAACTGACACGGATAGACTGGGTCATGTTCAGCTCGATCCGAATCCGCGACAAGGTGCGCCATGTCAGCTTGTCGCACGATCAGAAGGAGAAGTGCCGTAACCTCAAGAACGTCAACCGCATGGTCTCGCACTTCAACCACGTCGCCCATTGGGTGTCCAACATGATCCTGATACGCGACAAGGCAAAGCATCGCGCCCCCTGCCTTGAAAAATTCATAGTCGTCGCCCAAAGGCTGCGCCAGATGAACAACTACAACGGCCTGGCCGCCGTGCTGGCAGGCATCAACGGCTCCGCTATCCACCGGCTTGCCCAAACGCGTGCGGCGATTTCGGCGGAAGCGCAAAAGCGGCATGCTGGGCTAGCGCTGCTAATGGGCACGCAAAAGAGCCACTTCGCCTACCGCCTCGCGTGGGAGAACTCGTCGCTGCCACGTATCCCCTTTATGCCGCTGCACCGGCGCGATTTAGTCTCTGCTGAGGAGGGCAGCAAGACGTTTGTGGGGCCCAATGGAGACCGAATCAACTGGAAGAAGTTCGAGGTGCTTGGGGAGGTGCTGCTGCCCATCATGAAGAGCCAGGGGCAGCCATATCCTAATCTGCAACGGCACGACGCCTGCAAGGAGTTGGTACTGGATTGTCGGGTGACGACTGATGACGAGGTGCGTTTTTCTCTCGGCCGAGGCTCCTGTCTTCTTTTACGTGCCGTTACTGACTGGAGCCTAGGAACTCTACCAGCGCAGCGTGCAGGTTGAGCCTTCGACTGGTGGCGCGGGGGAGTCGACCAGGAAGAAGTTCCCCTGGCTGGCCAAGTAGGGCGGCCAAGCAGAGGTAACTGCCCGCCTTGCGACGACACGTAGACAGAGTTGCATGCTAGGAGAATACCACGGCGTGGGCTCCTCAAAATGGTTAGGTATTAATGGGAGGGGATGCACATACAACTCGAGGTTTTGCGAAAACTACGGCGTTACATTCAACGGGATCTTGCCTGAGCATAATGGTACAAGCGGGGGATTCAAAAGGCGGCCAGAGCGGGAAGGGGAAGGGTTTCTCTCGCTCCCCCAGGGAAAACGGGGCAATTTGCCGAATTTTAGACCTGTCACGGCAACGAGCGAATTGCAAAACACCACTGGTTCATGTCACTGCCATGATGGGAAGACGATCGAGTGCCTATGCCCACCTTGTGCGTCTAGGTATCCGTGGGTATATTTTGCTGCTCTATGGAACCAATGTGCCCCGATCCGTACCAACGAAAACAACGCCCCAAAAATGCTTATTCGAACTCCGGTGACCACAGATTTTCTAGCCCTCCCGTATCGTATACCAAGGGGACTAAGACTTCATACATCGAAAAGTATCCTCCAGAGCTTCGCTACCGACCCTAACTTTTGAGCCTATAAGAGACTTCTAGTCGTCGTCCTTGGGCCAAAGTCTGGTTTCAATGTCAGTCAAGTCTCTTTTCCGTAGGTTTGTTCGCAATGTTCATCTCCCATAGCGTCCGGGTGGTAAAAGGGGGATCAAAAGAAAGTCACTCACAATTCCTTCCTCCACAGACACCGCAGCATCTCGGTAAAGACCAAGATCCACACCAATATCAAGCACGCCGCCAACACACACCCAAAGATCTGGAGACCAGGGCTCTCCAATGCGCCACCGAGCGCTTCCGTGGCCGTAACCTACCAAACCATTAACATCATGTCCCACTCACTCGCCGCACGGGTAAACCAAGCAAGTATAGAAAGAACAGCAAGGCACAAGAAAAGAAGAAAAAGGCCAACTCACCAGCGCCGTGTTCGGAAACACAAACGAGAACCACGTCATCTGGAAGCGCAGCTTGCCCTTGCTCTCGGGCCGCAGGTACTTCCACAGCGACCCGACCGACACCAAAAAGAACCAGATGCTGAGCCCCCACAGCCAGAGGCCCGCCATGTAGGACAGCAGCCGCACGATGTCGGCCGCGTGCTGCGTGCCCGCGAAGCCCGGCGGGAAGATGGACGAGGTTTGCGAGCCTAGCTGGACTGTTTTTTTGGGGAAGGGAGGAAGTTAGCTTGTTTCCTTTCACATTAAAATGCCCAGAGAAGAGAGACAGCAAAAACGTACCCAACCCAGCGCAGGTAAACCCGCTCGGCCCGATCGAGATGAACACACCGGGCCGCTGGTGGTCGCGCGGCAGCTTCTGGGTCATGAGGCGGTAGAGGAAGGCGGCGCAGATCATGAAGCTGATGAGGAAGCCGGTGCCCTGCACCGTGATGGCGGCCAGCGCCACGGGCACCGTGTTGATGCCGTCGAGCTGGCCCGCGCGGCTGGCCGCTGAGACCAGGTTGCCGCCGAAGGGCGCGGAGAGGAGCAGTGGGTAGGCCGGGAACACCCAGACGGGGGTCATGGTGTGGATGGGGAAGACTCTTTTTGGGAGGGGGGTTTGTTAGTTGTGGGGGTTGTTGGGGGGTAGTAGGGGAAAGGGGGCCTTACTGCGTGGACCAGAGGGTGAGGTACAGGCTGGCGCTGACGAGGGTGCTCACGCCGATGTAGACCCAGAAGAGGGCCTCGATAACGCTTAGAAGCCAGGGGCCTGTGTATGGGATACCGTACTGGGTGATGGTGATGAGGATGGTGGCTATTCTATGGCGGAGAGATATGAGTAGCCAGTTTCCAGGGGTTGGTGACGGTGACTTACGAAACGATCTTGGTGGTGTTAGTGGCCATGCTCAAGGGGGTGTTTATATTGAGGGAAGTGCACTCACAATGGCCGAGATGAAGAGACTCTCATACTGATCGTGAAACGACTCCACGAGACTCCCGGGGCGCCAGTAAAAACGCAACGAGATGAGGATGCAGTTCATGATGAAGAGACAGAGGTTTAGAAAGAAGAAAACCAAGCCGATGCCGGTCAGCCATTGTGACGTGTAAGGTACTGTAGTTGGGGTTAGTTAGGTACCTATTACAGACATGACGGCAAGAAGGGGAGAAGTAGAAAACGTACTAGAATGCAGCACATTGGCGATTCCTCCCGTAGCCTGTTCACGCACATTATTAACATCACATCAACACCAACACCAACACTTTCCTGGTGAACCGTAACAATAAAGCCCCCATAAGCAGAGAAAGAAAGAAACGCAAAAGCACCCACCATAGTCATAGTAAACCACGTCCACTGAAAACACCCAATCCGATCCCTCAACCCGACCTTCCTCCCCCCCAACCCCCTACACGCCCGCATCACCACCCCATTCAAGCTCTCCGC